AAAGTCACTCAGTCGTGTCCGACTCTTTGCGATCCCATGGACTATACAGTCCATGGAATTCTCCAGGCCAGAATACTGGAGTGGGTAGCTTTCCCCTTCTCCAGGGGATCTTGCCAACCCAGGAATCCAACCCAGGTCTCCCACATTGCAGGCGGATTCTTTACCAGGTGAACCACGAGGCAAGCCCAGCACCACCTGTGGGTGTTCAATGAACACTTGAAATATTTTTCAGTATATACTGAAGGGGGGAAATATTACAGTTCACATTTGCCAGCCTCCCACCAGTCGGTAAACCCTTGGGTAAAATAGCCTAAGTTTTTCTTACGGGCAGCAGTGTGCGAAGCACACTTGGTCGCGCAGGAAATGAACTCTAAAAGGAGCTAACACTGAAGGGAGGAGCCACCGCGCCCTCTAGTGGCGATGGAGCGCGTTGCACCCCTCTGGACTTGGCCTGAGCCCTGACCCTGCGCGGGGACCAGTCTGAATGGGACCGGTCCTCCGGGTCTGACCCGGGGGTCCGGGCAGCCAGGGCCACAGGCCAGGCTCATGGTAGGAGCCGCCCAGAACATGCTCCGTGGAGAATGCGGGACGGCTCTGAACACGCGCAGAGGATCTGGACGGTTTTGCTGCTGTTTTTAAATTGAAGTAATAGTTGATTTATAATTTTGAATCAGGATCTAGAAGACTTAACTGCTCCAGTCTGGCGCCAATTGAGAGCGCCTACCGCCCGAGGGGAGGAGCTCTCTCCCCTGCCGCTGAGAGCAATATTCCCATCAGGTGGAGAGGCGAAGCCTCACAGCCTGTCTCGGGCAAGAGCCTGTGAGGCCCTCATTTCAGACCAGGTTCAGAGCTACCTGCTGGGCTCATAGGAAAAGAGGAACCAAAACGTTCTCCCTTTGAAGGTCGAGGGGCAGTAGACACAGGAATGCTGAGGTGTCCTGAATAAAAGGGCGTGGAGGAGAGGAGAGCTGGAGTCAGCTGTCAGGGGCTGAATTGTGTTCCTTCCCTGAATTCCTGTGTTGAGGTCCTAACTCCCGGGACCTCAACATGTGACTGAATCTGAAGAGAGGGCTTTTAAAGATGTGCTTAAGTTAAGAGGAGGCCATGGTGGTGGCCCCTAGTCCGATGAGATGGGTGTCAAGAAATTCAGACACACAGAAGGAGCCGCCAGGGATGCACAGAAGAGAAGCCCAGGGAGGAAGCAGGGAGGAGGTAGCCATCTGCAAGCCAAGGAGAGAGGCTTCAGGAGAAATCGGCCCTGCTGACACCGTGAGCCTGGACTTCCAGCCTCCAGAACTGTGAGCAAATTAATTTCTGTTTGTTAAGCCCCCTGGTCTGTGCTGTTATGTTATGGCAGCCTGAGCAAACGAATACTGGGCAGATCCTCTGTGCCCTCAGCAGATGTGTACGGGGTTCTCTCCAGGTCTCAGCTGTTGTTGTTTAGTCGCTAAGGGACTGGGCTTAATGCTGAGCATCTAATGATGAATGGAGGGATTTCCCTGGTGGTCCAGTAGTTTGGTATTGTTTCTGTTTTCTCCCCAGCCTTATTGAACTTTGACTGACATATAACATTGTGTAAGTTGAAGGTTTACAATGTAATGACTTGATATAAGTACATATTGCAAAATGATTACCACCATAAGGTTAGTTAATATATCCATCACCAGGCAAAGTAACCTTTGTGTGTGTGTGATCTACTTTCTTCATAACTTTCAAGTATACAATACAGTATTGCTAACTATAGTTACTGTACTGTACACTACATCTCCAGAGCTTATTCATCTTGCAACCAGAAGTCTGTACAGTTTGAACACCTCTACCTATTTTACCATGCTCCCAGCTTCTGGTAATCATTAACTTCCTCTCTGTTTCTATGAATTCCTTTAAGAGTCTCTGTATAAGTGAGATCATATAGTATTTGTCTTTCTCTGACATTTCAGTTAGTATAATGCCCTCAAGTTTCACCCATGGTGTTGCAAATCTTTGTTATGGCTGAGTACTGTTGCATTGTATATATTTACCATATTTTATCCATTCATCTATTAGGTTGTGTCCTTGTCTTGGTTGTTTCCATGTCTTGGCTATTGTAAATAATATTGCAATTAACATAGGGTTGTAGATATCTCTGAGATACTGATTTCATTTCCATATATACTCAGAAGTGGAATTTCTGAATCTTATAGTAGTTCCATATTTAATTTTTTAAAGGAGACTCCATACTGTTTTCCATAGCAGCTGCACCAATTTACATTCCCACCAACAGTGCACAAATTTCCCTTTTCTCCACATCCTGACCGATACCTGTTATTGCTTGTCTTTTTGTTAAAAACCAGTCTGACCAGTGTATGGTGATAGCTTACTGAGGTTTTGACTCATTTCCCTAATGATTAATGATGTTGAGCAGTTGTTCATATACCTGATGGGCATTTGTATATCTTCTTTGGGAAAATGTCTCTTCAGGGTTATCATTCATTTCAAAATTTTGAGTTTTTGCTATTAAGTTGTATGAGCTCCTTTATGTACGTCGGATATTAACCACTTATCAGATGATTGGCACATACTGATTGATATTTTTCTCCCATTCCATAGGCTGCCTTCGGTTTTCTTGCTCAAATGTTTATTTTGAATACTTTTGGGGATGGTAGTGTCATCATTGTTTCTGGATTAAGCCCTGGAAATGTTTAAAATAACAGAAATGTGCCGGGAGCCGCCAGGATGCGCCCAGTCCGTGACAAGGTTATGGGACAAGAGAGGAACCTGCAAGGCAGCTCTTCCTCACATGGGGCTGCCCCGGGGACAAGGTCACGGGACGAGAAAGGAATCTGCAAGGCAGCTCTTCCTCTNATGTACAGGACATTTAAGAAAAAACCCTGTAATTGGAAATGTTCTAGATGAATGCATAGGGGAAAAACATGGGAAAGAAAAATATTGACAGAAGCACGAAACCAATATCTGATGTAATATGTGGTGACTTACGGGGGAGCTAACGTTCATTCTATAAAAACTGAGCTGTCCTAAAAATAAAAAAAGCTGCCTCTTCTAGGCTACCTTCTGTGTGTGTCTGTTTTCTTCACCGACACCACTCATCCCTCGGCTATTCCTGGACCCACTGGGGCTGGACCCTGGCAGAAATGAAGTTTTCCTGATCCTTTCAGCAAAGATTGCTTCAAGAACAAAATGTTTTTACACAGTTGTGTGGTATTCTTCCACAGAACCAGTTTCATATTTGATTAGAATGTCCAGGTAAAGGAAGGGTCATCTCCATTTAAGCAAGTTCCTTGTATTCCAAATGGTTTAATTGAGATCTCTCAGGGGCTTTGAAAGGGAAGCTAGGTCTTGTTTAGCTTTTCAAAAGGTCTCTATTGGGCCATCTACCCCATGACTGTCCCTGGGCAATGATTTCTTTAACCCCCAACAGTTTTTTAAAATATTTTATGTCGGTTGAAACACTTTATTTCCTTCCCAATTTTTACCACCATTCACTGAGTGCCTGGTCCATGACAGTGCCACTCAAAGCTGTTAGTATACCATTAGGTGATTTAATTCTAACACCTTATGAAGTATGGGACTTCCTCATGGTCCAGGGGCTAAGACTCTATGCTCCCAATGCAGGGGGCCAAGGTTTGATTCCCTGGTCAGGGAATTACATCACACACGTTGTAGCTAAAGATCCTGCGTGCTACAGCTGAGACTTGGTACAACCAAATAAATACACAAGAATATTAAAAAATAAAACCTTACGAAGTAAAAACTGACAACCCCCACTTTACAGTTAAGGAAACGGGCTCAGAGAGGTCAAGATCACTCGACTAATAAAAGACTCTCTTATCCCAGAGATTGTTCTCTTAATTCCCATTCTTGCTTTTCTTTCCAAAACCCAGTAAAACACATCTGAAACGTGTATTCATATGAATTGCAACGTAAAAGTTAGCAAAACTCCTATGGTAAAGCTCTATATAGCTTATCTCCTCACATCTAATCCTAACAACCGCCACAAGGAGTTGACTCGTCTAAGGCAACAGCTCAGAACAGGTGGCAACCGCTGACCAGCGCCTGAGCCTAAGCCGACTCTAGGGACTCGCTCCTCCGCGCGCATCTCCTTTTCCGGTCCTGTGCCCCTGGAGTTTCTGCCCCCGGCCGGGGGAGGCCCGGCCCGGCGTAGGGAGGTTTTCGGGAAGGACGGGCCTGGGGAACCCGGAAGGGGCCCGGGGGGGGGGCGTTTCGGGGGGTTTTGGCTTTTTTCTTTTTTTTGCCCCCGGCCATTTGCCAGGGCAGTGCGGAGCGGTCCCTCCCTATTGGACGTGCGGCCTCGCGTAGGCGGGCGAGCTAGGCTGGCAGCGCGCTGATTAGCTGGGGCGTCCCGCGGGGGTGAAGGGGCGGTGCTCACGGGGCACGCGGACCGAGGCCGCCGGCTGCGCTCGGGTCCGGGAAGAGGAGGCTGCGCATGTGGGCGCTCCGCTCGCTGCTGGGGCTGCGGTGCGCGGCCGGGCGCACCATGTCTCAGGGGCCGGCGCGCCGCCCGCGGCCGCCCAAGGACCCGCTGCGGCACCTGCGCACGCGGGAGAAGCGCGGCCCGTCATGGGGGCCCGGGGGCCCGAACACCGTGTACCTGCAGGTGGTGGCAGCCGGCGGCCGGGATGCGGGCGCCGCCCTCTACGTCTTCTCCGAATTCAACCGGTCCGTGCGCCACGCCGGGGCCCGGTGTGGGGAGGGGGGTGTCCCCCGGCCGATCTCCTCCTCCCTAGGCTTGGTCACCCAGTTGTCAGTGTGGATGCAAGAGCCCGCACCCCGTAATGCCCCGTCCGTGCGGCTCCGGGAGGCGCCCCTGATCTTTAGGCAGAGCCCTCTCGTGTGCGCCCCATGGCCGGGGCCTCTTAGTCCGTGTGTGAAGTGGGCAGTTGTGCGGAGGAGGTGATGGGAGAGGACCCCAGCGCCGGCCCACCCCAGCCCCCTCCCCGCGTCTGCCGAGGAGGGTTCAAAACCCAGCGTCCTAACAGCAGACACTCGGCCGGTAGCACCACATGGGTTTTCAGGGTTTTTTTTCCCAACTCTACGGTGTACAGCAAAGCATCCGATCGGTGGCAGACGCTTTACAAACTGACTCTCTGGTGCGATGTTCGTCTTCTAGGTATCTCTTCAACTGCGGGGAAGGCGTCCAGCGACTCATGCAGGAGCACAAGTGAGCCCGCCCTCTTCCTGCGGGGCGGGGATGACTGTGCGGCTTTGACACGGGGGTCAGCAGAAGAGAGGGTCCCCTGCCAGTGTGTTGTGTCCTGCTCCAGCGCTTTCTCTTTCTTAGGCTGAAGGTGTCCCGTTTGGACAACATATTCCTGACCCGAATGCACTGGTCTAATGTTGGTGGGTTGTGCGGTGAGTCTGTTCTTGTCCAGGTCAGGCTGGAGGGAGGTCTCTGGGATTTTAACCTGCCTCCTGCCCCCACCCCCTGTTTTTTTTGCCCATCTCCGGAAGTCCAGGGGAGCTGGATTTCTTTTTATCCCTGCCCCTTCAGCTACGGCAGGAAGCATCCAAAAGTGTGGCTCAGAAAAGTTGGTGTTAATGTGGAGGCTGCGTTTAGGTGTTAACCACCCACCTCATTTATTGAGTTGCTGGACTGGAGGTGCCGGACCGACTGGAGTGTGTGGTCACAGTAAATGCGGATCACAGTAAATACTGGGTTGGCCAAGAAGATGGTTTGGGTCTTTGCGTAACAGACTTTTTGACCAACTCATGATGTCTGCCACTGGGACCATCAGCTACACACAGAGACCCAGTATCCAGATTTGTTGCTGTTTAGTCGCTAAGAAGTGTCTGACTCTTTTGTGACCCCATGGGCTATTATAGCCCGCCAGGCTTCTCTGTCTGTGGAGTGGGTTGCCATTTCCTTCCCCAGGGGATCATCCCCATGCAGGGATCAAACCCAAGCCTCCAGCATTGGCAGGCAGGTTCTTTACCACTGAGCCACCAGGAAAGCCCGATATCCCGATTACCCCCTTGTTTCTCCCCATCAGTTAGAAAGATCGAGATTGTTTTGCTGCCATATTCTGTAACATTGTGGAGCAGGTAGGAAGGAGCAGAGGCTGGACCCGTCTCATCCCCCGGGACTGAGACTCAGATGAGGCGAGGACGCGCCCAGGGTGCAGAATTGGTGTTGTCCTTTGCCTCAGTGGATTTTTGCCCCCGAGGTGCCTCATTCTAGTATCAAGTCCTCCCTTGAACCTCTAGCCAGCACCAAGTCTGCCCTGCATGTGTCCCCTGTTAACTCTGGAGTGAGAACAAGTAGAAAAAGCAGCCAGTTAAGTAAGGACTGCGCTTCCTGGCGGTGACTGCGAGTCAGGGTGATGAGAGATCTGAGTTTATTCATTCTTTTTTTTTTTTTTTTTTTTAGGAATGATCCTCACTTTAAAGGAAACCGGAGTTCCAAAGTGTGTGCTTTCTGGACCTCCACAACTGGTGAGTCTCAAAGCTGAGCCTTCCATTTTAACTTCCACAGGAATTTCCAGTTTTGCACATCGGCCCTCTGCCCTCCAGAGAAAACTCATAGCTGTGGAAACACTTTGCGTTTCAAGCTAAAGATAACCCGAGTCCAAGCCTTGTTGACTCTGACTGGGCTCAGGTTGCAGTCCCTCCTGGACCCTCCGTGACTGTGAAAGGGTTGCAGGGGTTACGAATAAAATGAGGTAACACAGGGCACTTGGTCACTTGGTTTCACACCACGTGGACACAGGATAGATGTCCGCTTTTATTCTTTTTTTGTTTAGAATTTATTTATTTTTTAAATTGAAGGATAATTGCTTTACAGAATTTTGTTGTTTTCTGTCAGACCTCAACATGAACAACTTTTATTCTTATTTATTAAATTTCAGACATCTCTGTTGTACCTTCCAAGCCAGCTTTACAACACTGTTAAGAGGTTATAAACACATTATTGGTGTAAGGGTTCACTTCACTTCCCAGGTCCTAAGGTAAAAGGCAGCCAGACACCAGCCCTGCCTGTGACATCTGTCTCCAGAATAATGCCTTGCAGCCGTATGTCTGTATCCTCCTCATTAGCTCTGTCCCACTATGGTCTCCTGCCATCACTTCCCATGTCCATTCCTCCACCCCCATGACTGTCCAGCACCGCGGCCACAGGGGTCCCTCTCAAGTGGAACGGAAGGCGGGTCACCTCGACCTAAAACCCTTCACAGGTCTCTGTAAACATAGTCCAGACACCGTCATGTGGCCCCCAGGTCCTGCTGGCCCTGGCCCTCACCTGACCTACATCTATGCCAGCCACACGATGAGGCTGCGGGGCCAGCTCTGAGCTCTTCACAAAGCCCCCGCCTGTCTCAGGCCAAGATAACTTTCTCCCTCCTGTGTCCTCCCAAACTTCAGGGCTCAGCTCCAGGGCTTCAGCTTGGGATGCCCCCACGCCCCGCCAATGACTCTGCAGACTGGTTGGATCCCGGTCTCCTGTGTTGTTTTATGTGTGCAGGATGCTCAGCCCCATGGCGGCTTGTCATTTGTATGATTTCTCTCTCCTCCCCTGGTTTCTAAGTTCTGTGAGCACAGGTACCCCATTTTCTCATTGCTGACCCCCAGGCATCTAACCTGGACACTCAGTAAGGAAGTTGGAAGCGCTCTTTGAAATGTGTTTTACGTTGCTGCCTCCAGCACCTCTCATGAATAGACGCTTGAACATGTGTTTCGTCCTCGTTTTTCTTTCTTAGGAGAAGTACCTGGAAGCCATCAAAATATTTTCTGGTCCACTGAAAGGAATAGACCTGGGTAAGTCCTTGATTACTACTCATATGCCCCCTTCTCTCAAATCAGAATCCATAAAAGCTGACCAAAGTAAACCTTAAAAATCAAATGCTTCATCCATGTGAGATGAATTTTGAACCTGTTGCCGATTGCACTTTCTCTGCCCCCACCTCATCCCCTTAAACACGGGCAGGAAGGTAGGAGTGAGTCAGAAGCTGCCAGGTATGGGGTGTGTGCAGGGTGGGGTCTCCCTTGGGGCCCTGAGGCTCCTTCCTGGCCCTGTAGGTGGGTCTCACCATTGAGTGGCCTTGGATCCCTCACAGAGAGAGGGGCTGGGAGCAGTTTTTCTCGGAGCACATGGCTGGTTGATGGGAAGAGGCCTAGGCAAGGTACCGGCCGGGCCAGGGGCATCTCCGGTTGGTTCTTCTGTAGACGGACGCTGGTGTTTAATTTCAGAACGTGTCTTGGCTCTCAGAGTTGAGAGCATAGGTTCCCTGGCCTGGCAGTGCTGAGTGTCCGCCTGTGTCTCTTACACTTAACCAACGGCTTCATTTTCTTTTGGCCGTTCGTCACCAGTGATCCTCGTACGTCTTCTCACGTGGCTGTGCTAAACGTTAAGAGCTGAAGATGTATTTTTGCTGCTTCCCTAAATATTTTCATTTACTTAGAAATTCTCGGTTTAATGCAGATTTCTGCAAAATTCCAGACCGCTCCCATTGCTCGTGGGTGGTGATCTGAAGGTGATTCTCGTGCCCATGGTTGCTGCCCTGGTCACTGTCCCGCGGTCTTTTCCCCACAGCTGTGCGGCCCCACTCGGCACCAGAATACAAGGATGAGACCATGACAGTGTTCCAGATCCCCATCCACTGTGAGTACGAAGCCACATGGCGGGGACCCCTGGCAGTTCATTGGTTAGGGCTCCGTGCTTTCACTTCAGGGGCCCAGGTTCGATCCCTGGTCAGGGAACTAAGATCCTGCAAGCTGAGCTGCACAGGCAAAAATTAAGAAAGCCATGTTTTCTTGGAGCGGGAGGAGGTGGGTCCTAGTTGAGGAAGGCGGGGGTTGGTAGAAACTACTGGTGGCCAGTGGAGGACAGGCCAGTGAGGTGGGCAACTCACTGTGTCAAAATTCCAGACCGCTCCCATTGCTCGTGGGTGGTGATCTGAAGGTGATTCTCGTGCCCATGGTTGCTGCCCCGGTCACTGTCCCGCGGTCTTTTCCCCACAGCTGTGCGGCCCCACTCGGCACCAGAATACAAGGACGAGACCATGACAGTGTTCCAGATCCCCATCCACTGTGAGTACGAAGCCACATGGCGGGGACCCCTGGCAGTTCAGTGGTTAGGGCTCCGTGCTTTCACTTCAGGGGCCCAGGTTCGACCCCTGGTCAGGGAACTAAGATCCTGCAAGCTCAGCTGCACAGGCAAAAATTAAGAAAGCCGTTTTCTTGGAGTGGGAGGAGGTGGGTCCTAGTTGAGGAAGGCGGGGGTTGGTAGAAACTACTGGTGGCCAGTGGAGGACAGGCCAGTGAGGTGGGCAACTCACTGTGAGTTGCAACTGGCTGTGAGCTCGCCCGAGGGCTGTGTCATCTGCTCATTTCCCCTACTGACCAGGCGAGCAGACGAGTGGTCAGCAGTCGCCCGCGCAGAGTCCAGAGCGGCTGAGTCCACCGCCGCCTCCACACGCAGAACCAGCTGATGGGGAGCGGCGCCCGAACGGTAATGGTGCTCGGTCAGCAGCGTGCTGTCGAGGGGGCTGGGGTGGATGTGGGGTCTGTTTTAGTCCCTTGCCTGCTTCTGCTCGTCATTCAAGTTTTTGTCCTAAGGAAGCTCTCTGTGCAGAACAGACACTTTTTCCTTGTCATGTTAGGACACCTGTGGGCAGCTGAGAAGGCTGTTGTAAAGGTGGCCGCGTGGAGGCTTAAGGGCCAGTGTGTAGCCGGGGGTGGGGGCCCAAGCTTCGGGTCCAGTTTACCCAGGGAGAGCAGGGCCTGGCAAATGATTCCTACTGAGGCTTGTGTGTTTCCCATTTTCTGGTACAAAATTATGTTGTTTATTTCATTATACGGTACAGATCGTTTATTAAGTCTTTACAGTTCATTACCGAGTCTTTGGAGTTTTTTGAATTCCCATTTCACATGTAGCAAGTCAGAATTTGTGTGTGCATCTGTCGTGTTTGCAAAACCGCACACACCGGAACACTACTCTGACACTGTTGGTGTCAGCAGATGGAGAAGGCTCGGTGAACTGTTTGTGTCTCATGGAGGCAGCAGTAATGCCAGTTAATTTTTGTGACTGCAGGACCTAACAGCCAGGCCAACAAAGCGGTCAAAGACTGGCTTTGGGCTTCCTCTTCCAGAATGACAGCCCACTGGGAAATGGGATCAGAATTCCAGGATGAGACCTGCCAGGGAATCGGGCTGCTTGAGGTGGTCCAGGGATGGGCAAGCTTGATAAGTTCCCGCCTCTGCCCTGAGGCCATGTCTGTCTGAGGACCGAGGGGCCCCAGCCCTGTGAACTGTCCTCCTTGGATGGCATGAGTGAGGACTGACACCCACGTCATTTTTGCAGGCCTTTCAGCTTTTATGTTATTTCTCACAGAGTTATTGATAAAGCACATTACAGCTTTTTTTTTTTTTCCTCTCATCTCCACTTCTTGGTAAAACAGAAAACATTTTAAAACACTTTACTTGGTCTTCTCTGGTTTGAGTTTTTGCATTTTTGTTTCCTCGAATCTCACCACGAGTTAGAAAAAAAAGGAAGTTCTGCTTGAGGGCAAAACAAGTGTGTGTGTGTATCCAGAGTTCCTTCCGTTTACATCTGTGTGACGTCAGGTCAGGTGTCAGATGACCGCTGACCTGTGTCACCTGCAAGACTTGCCATCCGCCTTGTCATGGTTGGACTGTCTCTCCTCAGGTGTTGGCCAGAAAGCACGTGGCAGGGACACCTCCTTGGTGGTTGCTTTCGTCTGCAAGGTGAGCATGCGTCTGGCGGCCTCAGGGTTTTTGGTGGTCGGAAGGCAGCAGCTTTCTCTGTGATCAGAGAAAACACACCCTGGTTCCCAGTAAACCGCTGTGCCCGCTGTGTGTGTCCAGATTGTCTTCCAGCCAGAGTCAGTCTTCAGAGACAGGTTTCATAGTTGGCCGTGAGCCTCACTCTTGAACTTCAGAAATAGTTAAGAAAGGTTAAGTTTCTGAAGTCAGTGGAAATAGAGTTGATTTACAGTGTTAATTATTGCTAATCAGCAAAGTGATTCAGTTATACACGTGTGTATGTATACTCTTTTTAAAAATATTCTTTTCAATTATGGTCTATCACAGGATATTTTCTTGTGCTATACGGTAGGACCTTATATCCATTCCATATGTAATAGTTTGCATTTGGTAATCCCAGGCTCCCAATCTTCCCCTACCCTCCCCCACCCCGGGCTTCCCGCTTGGTGACCAGTCTTTTTCTTGGGTTCATTTGTATCCTGTTTTAGATTGGACGTATAAGCGATAGCATATGGTATTTGTCTTTCTCTGACTTTATATAATATGATAATCTGTAGGTCCATCTGTGTTGCTGCAAACGGCATTTCATTTTTTATGGCTGTGTAGTATTCTATTATATGCATACATATATATATTTATATACCACATCTTTTTTATCCATTCCTCCGTCAGTGGATGTTTGGGTTGCTTCTATGTTGTAAACAGTATTGCAATGCACATTGGGGTGCATATATCTTTTTAAATTATGTTTTTCTCCTGATATACACCCAGGAATGGGATTGCTAGGTTGTATGGTAATTCTGTGTTTATTTTTCTGAGGAACCTTAATACTGTTTTCCACAGTGGCTGCACCAGCTTAGATTTTCACCAACAGTGTAGGAGGGTTCCCTTTGCTCCACATCCTCTCCAGCAGTTATTGTTTTATAGACTTTTTAATGATGACCATTCTGATTGGTGTGAGGTGGCACTTCATTGGAGGTTTGACTTGCATTTCCCTAATAGTTAGCAATGTTGAGCATTTTCATGTGCATGCCTGTGGGCTATCTGTATATCTTGTTTGGAGAAATGTCTATTTTCGTCTTCTGCCCATTGTTTTGTTAGGAGGCTTTCTTGTTGTTGTTGTTGAGTTTATGAGCTGTTTGTATATTTTGGAAATTAAACCCTTTCAATTGCACCATTTGCAAATATTTCTACCATTGTGTAGGTTGGCTTTTCATTTTGTTTATGGTTTCCTTTGCTCCGCTAAAGCTGTGAGTTTGATTAGGTCCCATTTGTTTATTTTTACTTCTGTTACTTTGGGAGACTGACCTACGAACACATTGGTATGATTTATGTCAGAATGTTTTGCCTGTGTTCTCTTGTAGTAGTTTTATGGTATCATGTCTTATATTTAAGTCTTTAAGCCACTTTGAGTTTATTTCTGTGTATGGTGTGAGGGAGTGTTCTAACTTCCTGATTTACATGGATCTGTCCAAATTTCCCAGCATCACTTGCTGAAGAAAGTCTTTTTCCCCCTTGTGTTAATATATTCTTGCCACCTTTGTTGAAGATCAGTTGACTGTAGGTGTGTGGATTTACTTCTGAGCTCAATTAATAACTTTTATTATCTGGAGATATATTCTCTCTATACCCACTTTGGTAAGAGGTTTTCTTTTTTAATCATAATTATGTTTGTTCATTTCTGGTGGTGTTGGGTCTTCACTGCTACATGGGGCTCTCTAGTTGTGAGCAGGGGCTCCTGTCTAGTTGTGAGCGGGCACCCTTCTAGTTGTTGAGTAGGACCCCTCTAGTTGTGAGCAAGGCCCCTCTAGTTGTGTGAGTTTTTAAGTACAGAATGATGATTATGAGGTTTTGTGATAGGGTTTTTTTCCATTTTAACGTAATAATAGAACACTGGGACTTTTTTATTGTAACTTTTCTCTGGTATAAAAGCAGCAGCACAGTTTTGCCACATATGTGAAAAGTCGACGAGAGAAACCACCCAGTCTCCCTGTCCCTGGAGCGCCGCGTCGCACGGTGGATCCGTGACCGTTTCTGTGGGACTCTGTTCTGGTGACGCTCTGTTGGCCGTCGCTTGACCAGCGCAGGATAACAGAACGAGCGTCTCTCCTCCAGGTGCTTGGAGGACGCTTCTTACCTGGGATGCAATAGACGGCGTTTTATTAGATGTACAAGGAGTTATCAGGGTTGGGGAAGTAGGCAGCTCAGTTTTAAATCATTCGGTTTCCTGTGCTAAACCGATTCCAAAACTATGGTGGAAGCCAAGCTTCTCCGTCAGACCCTGGCCTCACGTGTCCTCTTCTTTGCAGCTCCACCTGAAGAAGGGAAACTTCTTGGTGCTCAAAGCGAAGGAGCTGGGTCTCCCAGTGTGAGTGGTGGGGCGTTTGGGGGGGGCTCAGCGGGCACAGGGTGACCCCGGAACCCCGTCCTCACCGAGGCCTCGCCTGTCATTTCAGCGGAACAGCCGCCATTGCCCCCATCATTGCTGCCGTCAAGGACGGGAAGAGCGTCACCTACGAAGGGAGAGAGGTGGGTGCGGTCCCGGCAGCCACAAGCCGGGCCTGGACGCTGGACAGTCGCTGTCTGGTTTGGCCCCACTTGCAGGGGGGTTAGCAGCTTGGGTTTCATCACTGAGCCGAGCTTGCCTAGGCTTGCCCCGCACGTCAGTGCTGGCCACGTGGGGGCGTTTCTGGGGGTTTCCCTTTAGGAGGTGGGGGTCCTCCTCATAGGATGGGGGCTGTCCCTGTCCCTGGGTTCAGGGGAGACCCCTTCAGGGTGGACTTCAGGGGTGTGGCCCCAAGGAGTGACATCCTCCCCAAGGTGGGAGAATGAGAGGACGAGACTCCGCCGAGAGCCGAGTGTGAAATGCCCTCTCGGGCCAGCCGGCCCCGACTGGTGTCAGTGGAGAGAGGGCCGGAGGTGTGGGCGCTCCCCAAGGGGGCTGCCCTGGGAGCACACGGTGACCCCGGGGACTTGACAGATTCTGCCTGAAGAGATCTGCACCCCTCCGGACCCCGGGATCGCCTTCATTGTGGTAGAATGTCCAGACGAAGGGTTCATCCAGCCGCTGTGTGAGAACACTGCCTTCAGGAGGTGAGGAGGGCCCTCCGGGCGGGAGGTGAGAACCGACATTGCTCAGGAGAGCTGGGCTGGGCTCCCGCCGCCCCGTTCGAGGTCTGCACTCTGCCTCCCTGGCCCCAGCAGAACCCCCGCTTGCTTCCTCCCAGTTACCAAGGGAAGGCCGACGCCCCCGTGGCCCTGGTGGTCCACATGGCCCCGGAGCACGTGCTCCTGGACAGCAGATACCAGCAGTGGATGGAGAGGTATGAGGGCCCCTGGGTTCCTGCCCTCCCTGGAGGCTGGGGGCATCTGTGCCATGAAGACTGTCCCTGTGAGGGGGCGCTGCGGGCACACGTCCACTGGCCTGGGGCTGGCTTCCTGCCTGCACATTCACACCCTCACCTGGGGACAAACCCTGCCTGTGTTGATGATCACGTGTGTGTTTCCGAAATAAGAGACGTGGAGGATAAAGTAGCAGCCTCGCTTTAGAAGCTTTATCCACATTGGGCACCTTCCTGCTCTTCCACCGCCCACCTCAGGGCCGGGTGGCTGGGGTTGGACTGGGCGTGTGGTGACTTCTCTCCCGCTGGCATCCCTGGTCCCCTGCACCTCGCGGTCTGAGTGTGTTGGCATCCATCACCATCTTCCTTTCCTTCCCTCACCCCCAATGCTCCCTCATGTTCCCGAGTCCCCAGCCCTGGAACTGTTCCTGGTTTCCCACAGGCCTTGAACTGGGCTCTGCGGAGGACCTGGGCTGTTTTTGGCCACTTGGGGTGACCTCTGGACAGGTCGCTTGCCCTCTTGAGCACTCCCAGTAAATGACCACTGCGTGGGCAGGAGTGCCCCCAGAAAGACACCATGATGACCGTGTGTCCATCCATCTTAGGTTCGGGCCCAACACCGAGCACCTGGTTCTGAACGAGAACTGCGAGTCAGTCCACAACCTGCGCAGCCACAAAATCCAGACCCAGCTTGGCCTCATCCACCCCGGCATCTTCCCCCCGCTCGCCGGTGTCTCTTGCAGGAAGGCAGTGCTGCCCAGGGTGTGCCCACGGTCCGAGGCCAGTGTCTCCTTAAGTACCAGCTCCGGCCCCGGCGGGAGTGGCAGAGGTCAGTGTGGTCTCAGGGTGCGGGGGCGGTTAGTGTCTCAGGTCTGCAGCCACGTGGCCTCTGCCTCCGAGCAGAAAGTCAGTCACTTGCCATCCCATCACCCTGAAACACTGCCTGTTACCAGTTTGTGATTTCTGACCAGGTGTGTGGGGGCATGTTAAGATGTGGGTTTAGGGCCTGATACACTGTCGGGCTTTTCCCAGGTCATGATGAGAGTCTTCAGGACAAGGTTGTCGCCAGGTTTCCGAGTGGGGGTGCTTGTTCATTGGAGGCACTGCAGTCCTCCTGCTATGTTAACAAAACAAGTGCCTTCCATACACATCCTTGGGTGGAACAGGGTTTCCTTGGAAAACGCTTAAGCGGGGCGGGGGGTACTGGGTCAGAGGCTGGCCCTGCCTGAAGCACCTGGTGAACCCAGCTTACCCTGCAGCCAGTCACGGAGAGGTGCTCACTGCCCTCTGTCTCCAGTTTTTAAAAATTTGAAGTGTCCTGTGCACACCAGTGTGGTCCAAGTGGACTGCGTTTGGAAAGGTAGCTGGACCCTGGGCGCCATTGTGGTGAATAGTTGGGGCCCTTTAAGAGCCCTCCTCCCCCTCCCCCAGGGGGATGCCCGGCACGACTGGGGTCTAGTGAGTAGAGGTCAGGGAGGCCCCTGCCCCGTGGATCGGTGCTGCCAGGGCCAGCCCGGCCTGCTTTGAGCTGCGAGGTTCTGAGGACCAGAGGTGTGAGACCCGCTGGGCTGGGGAGGGTCTGCCACGCCGTCACCGAGAGGTGGAAGCACTTGCAGACAGTCCCCAGGGTCAGTGCTGACTTCAGGTCTCACTCATGGCCACCGCACCCTTCCATCCCGATTCCACCTCCTTGCAGGGATGCCGTCCTGACCTGCGACCCCGAGGAGTTCATCGCCGAGGCTCTGGAGCTCCCCAACTTCCAGGAGAGCGTGCAGGAGTATAGGAAGACGGCCCAGGATGGCCCAGAGGGTGAGGCAGACCAGGGACCAGCCCCTCCTGGGCTTGCATCTCACCCCGGGACCTTCTGGTCTGTTTCCCACCAGTGCCTGCCCCACCTAGCCCATCTGCTCGGCGGTTAGGTGATGAGGCCCACACAAGCCGAGTGGGAGGGTCCTGGGACCTTGGGTGAGGCTCTGGGCAGAACTTGGGGTCTGGTCCCAGCATTGCTTTAAGGGTCCACGGGAGGACTCTGGCCCCATCACTCACCGTCTCAGGCTTCCCCTGCCCCAGTGGGAAGACAGTTTGGGGAACTCTCTGGCTTCTCTGCAGTAGTTGGTTTCCCCAGTGGCGGTGGTCTAAGCTCACAATTGAAGTGGAAAAAGGAGGCTGGACTAGACAGTGGAGTCAGGTTCAAGCCAGTCAGCACCAGGCTGGAGTTTCAGGAATATGCCTCCCTGGCTGCGCTTGCCGGGATAGGTTTCTGGTTTGCACAGTAAAGCTCCATTATTATCATCGCTCGCACACGTGCACACGGGGCCTCTCTGGCTGGGCAAGGCCTTCCGTGGCCTCAGGCTTCAGAATCCAGAAGGCTGGTCCTGCCAGAGCGTGAACCTCCCAAGCTCCTCCCAGCAGGGCGGGACCTCTGCCAGGTGGGCTCAGCCCTGAGGTCTGTGCTGATTCACAGCACCAAAAAGGGGCCCCCTGTTATATCATCTAGTAGGAGACTTGGGGGCTTCCCTGGTAGCTCGGTTGGTAAAGAATCCGCCTGCAATGCTGGAGGCCCTGGTTAGATTCCTGGGTCGGGAAGACCTGGTGGAGAAGGGATAGGCCACCCACTCCAGCATTCTTGGGTTTCCCTTGTGGCTCAGCTGGTAAAGAATCTGCCTGCAATATGGGAGGCCTGGATTTGATCCCTGGGTTGGCAAGATCCCCTGGAGAAGGGAAAGGCCACCCAGTCAAGTATTCTGGCGTGGAGAATTCCACGGACTGAGCTACTTTCACCACCAGGAGACTTGAGCCTGTGTAATTGCTCTGCTTTCTGCCCCTTCTGGTCTGACCCCAGCCCCTCCTGGGTATCTGGACTTAACCCCAGGGCTGGCTCACGATGTGTTTTTCCATAGAGACTTGCAGCCAGTACCCAGAAGTGGTCTTCCTGGGAACAGGGTCCGCGATCCCAATGAAGATCCGGAACGTGAGCTCCACGCTCGTCAATATCAGGTAGGAGCCCTTGAAGGGAGGCGCCGCCCGCAGGGGTACCCTGCCCCACTCCCCGGTGAATCAGAAGGTGCAGCCTCACATCCCTGGAGGCCGGTCTTGGCTGGAGTGCCTGGGGCGGGGTCGGGCAGTAAGGTGACAGGTAGTCTGGGTAGCTGACTTGGACGTGGGGGGTCCGCGCAGTTGGACGCCCAGTGCATCTTTGGATGAAGCAGGTGCTGCGCTGTGAGCCATCACCTGGTCACCTGGCTGAGACACAGTCTCACCGGGCTTTCAGCTCCTCCTGTGAACTAGTCACTAACCGCCCCCACCACATCATTGGTGTACCCGCCCCCAGGCTCCGCTTCCCACACAGACCCTCTCTCGGGTGCCCAGCGTCTGTGCGACTCCGGGGACGCTCGTGTATGTCCCGGTGCGTCGGGATGTCCTCTGATATGAGGAGGAGAGATGTGAGGCCACCTTCACCTTGAGGGCAGCCCCCCGGGTGGGGCTGAGGTGCCGCCCTGCCCTCCTCCCTGAGTGATCCCCCGCCTGCCCCCCCCACAGCCCCGACACGTCCCTGCTGCTGGACTGCGGGGAGGGCACCTTTGGGCAGCTATGCCGCCACTATGGGGACGGCGTGGACCGGGTCCTGGGCTCTCTGGCTGCTGTGTTCGTGTCTCACCTGCACGCCGACCACCACACGGTGAGTGGGCTCCCTCCTCGGGCCCCGTGCCTCCCACCCGGCGTGGTGTCTTAGGGAAACCTGGTGGCCTAATCTCAAGGCCACAGGGTCTCCCCTGGCCAGGCAGCTGCTCGGAGCAATCTGCAGCCGGAGGCAGGCGGCAGCCGGGTGGTGGGCATCAGAAGGGGGTGGCTGATGGAGACCAGGGACTGCAGGCTGGGGCCCCAGGGCCCCAACTCAGGAGGAAGGTCAGGTCTGCATGAGGCTGATGTGTCCCCTCATCTTCCCAGGGCTTGCTGAACATCCTGCTGCAGAGAGAGCGTGCTCTGGTGAGTCCATGGGACTGCACTGCTCCCGTGTTTCTGGGGATGATATACACACACACACACACCCCTCCTCCCACTCCACACCGTTTCTGCTGAAATGTCCGCCGTGCTGGTGGCACTCTGCTCTCCCCGCTGCAGGCATCGCTGGGCAGACCCTGCCACCCCCTGCTCGTGGTCGCCCCCACCCAGCTCCGGACCTGGCTCCAGCAGTACCATAACCAGTGCCAGCCACTGCTGCACCACGTCAGGTGGGTGCTCCCCTTATAAAGGCCCTTTGCTTTCGGTTTCTCCCGGCCTCCTTTGCTTCCAATCCCGAGTCCAGATCTCTGCCAGCACTTCTCCATGAAACCGTTTCCAGGCCTAGCACCCTGCTTCCTCAGTGAGAGCACCGAGTTGTTTTTTGTAATAGTGGGGCTCTGTAGTCAGTGGCTCGAACATCAAATTAAATGTCTCTTTTTCTCAAATGTTTTATCTTCTCACAGTGTAATCCCTGCCAAATGCCTTCAGAAGGGAGCTGAGGTCTCCAGCCCCGAGGTGGAAAGGTTGATAAATTTGCTGCTGGAAACCTGTGGCCTGGAGGAGGTAGGGGGAGGCCTGGGCGTGGGCAGGCAGGCAGGGGCCACGGACGTGTGTGGCTGGCCGCGAGCCCACCGCCCCTCCTCCAGTTCCAGACCTGCCTGGTCCGACACTGCAAGCACGCCTTCGGCTGTGCGCTGGTCCACATGTCCGGCTGGAAGGTGGTCTACTCGGGGGACACCATGCCCTGCGAGGCTCTGGTCCAGATGGGTGAGTAGGGGCATGTGCTGTGCGGCGCCCAGACCCCTGCGGCCCCCAGGCAGAGAGCTTATTCTCAGCATCTGTGCTGCTGCTTCAGGGAAGGATGCTACCCTCCTGATCCACGAGGCCACCTTGGAAGACGGTCTGGAAGAGGAAGCTGTGGAGAAAACACACAGGTACAGAGCGCCCGATCCCTCTGGCTCCCCAGGTGATCCTGGGTCAGCCTGCTTCCCACCGAGGGCCGTGGGGGCTTCTGACCCCGAGCGGCTGTCTCCCGAGCCTCCACTTTTATTTCTGTGGCACCTCTGAGGCAAGGCTCTGGAGGAGGTGTGGCTCAGGAAAGAACTGGAAATACGCTGAAGCCAAGGAAGGGGGCCTGGGGCAGGGTCGTGGGCGATCTGAGGGAGGAGTGTGTCGCCCCCAGTGGGAGGCCGCTGTCCCCCGAGGCCTCACTGGTGGGCAGTCCCACAATGCAGAGCCTGGGCTGCACTGGGGGTCTGGGGGGAGACGGGCTTTGTGGTGGCTTTGTATCGGCCTGTGGCCCCCAGGTGCCCAGGCGGGCCGGGTCTGGGCCGGGTTCTGCGCGGCCCGCTCCTCCAGCCTCCCGTCACCCTGTGTGTGCAGCACCACCTCCCAGGCCATCGGCGTGGGCATGCGGATGAGCGCGGCCTTCATCATGCTGACCCACTTCAGCCAGCGCTATGCCAAGATCCCACTCTTCAGCCCTGACTTCAACGAGAAAGTGGGCATCGCCTTCGACCACATGAAGGTGCGGGGACCTCTTGGGCGGGGCGGAGCGGCGAGAGACGCCTCCATCCATGTGGATGACTAGGCTCGGCCTGCTGCCCACCATGGCTGGCACAGCCTCGGGGCACAGGCCCCCGAGGGCCCTGTGGAGGCCCAGGTGGTCCCCAGAGTGATGACACGTGAGCCGCCCTCCACGCGGGCCCGGGGGACGGCGTTCTCCCAGCAGTAAAGCTAGGCCTTGGGAGCCTGGCTTCCTGTCCCCACAGCCGGCCTGTCTTCCAGCCGAGTCTGCCTGTGAGGGTGGGTGGTGCCTCTGAGCCCTGACGGCCTTGTCTTGCCTTGTAGGTCAGCCTGGGGGACCTCCCGACGGTGCCCCGGCTGACGGCGCCGCTGAAGGCCCTGTTCGCCGAGGACCTGGAGGAGATGGAGGGGCGCCGGGAGCGCCGGGAGCTGCGGCAGGTGCGGGCGGCCCTGCTCACAGGGGAGGACGTGGAGCCACCTGTCCCCCGAGGCCTCACTGGTGGGCAGTCCCACAATGCAGAGCCTGGGCTGCACTGGGGGTCTGGGGGGAGACGGGCTCTGTGGTGGCTTTGTATCGGCCTGTGGCCCCCAGGTGCCCAGGCGGGCCGGGTCTGGGCCGGGTCTGGGCCGGGTTCTGCGCGGCCCGCTCCTCCAGCCTCCCGTCACCCTGTGTGTGCAGTACCACCTCCCAGGCCATCGGCGTGGGCATGCGGATGAGTGCGGCCTTCATCATGCTGACCCACTTCAGCCAGCGCTATGCCAAGATCCCACTCTTCAGCCCTGACTTCAATGAGAAAGTGGGCATCGCCTTTGACCACATGAAGGTGCGGGGACCCCTTGGGCGGGGCGGAGCGGGGAGAGATGCCTCCATCCATGTGGATGACTAGGCTTGGCCTGCTGCCCACCATGGCCGGCACAGCCTCGGGGCACAGGCCCCCGAGGGCCCCGTGGAGGCCCAGCTGGTCCCGAGTGATGACACGTGAGCCGCCCTCCACGCGGGCCCGGGAGACGGCGTTCTCCCAGCAGTAAAGCTGGGCCTTGGGAGCCTGGCTTCCTCTCCCCACAGCTGGCCCGTCTTCCAGCCGAGTCTGCCTGTGAGGGTGGGTGGTGCCTATGAGCTCTGATGGCCTTGTCTTGCCTTGTAGGTCAGCCTGGGGGACCTCCCGACGGTGCCCCGGCTGACGGCACCGCTGAAGGCCCTGTTTGCCGAGGACCTGGAGGAGATGGAGGGGCGCCGGGAGCGCCGGGAGCTGCGGCAGGTGCGGGCGGCCCTGCTCACAGGGGAGGACGTGGAGCCACCGCAGAAACGCGCCCCCACAGATCAGCCCCCCAGCCCACAGAGCAAGAAGGCCAGGGCCCAGTAGACGCAGGGCCGGGGAGCACATGGAGGGAGGCCACGGTGTCCATCAGTCTCGTGCACGAGCGCTGGGCTGGGGACGCAGCCTCAGGAATGGCATCTTCAAGGACGAGACACTGTGAAGGTGGCATCTGGACCGAGTGCTGTCCCCCTGCTGCGGCCAAGCAGGGTCTTGGGGCACAGTTCTGCACCTCAGGTGCCCAGGGCGCCCGGAAGCAGCTTGATCCTGGCAACGACCTTCAGAATCCATCCCTGGGGAGCCAGCACCCCTCTGCAGCCTGGTGTCTTAGCCAAAGTCAAATCGTGTGGACTGTCAGCTGTGGATGGCACTGGGTGGGTATGCAGTGGTTCCAGGAACGCAGAGATGGGCTGCCGTTCTTGCCGCGTAGACAGACTCACCGGAGTGTGGAGCGACACCGCGTGAGGCTGGTGGCCAGGCCTTCCCTTAGAGCTGGACAGCACTGAGGTCAGTGTCTGAAAAGGGGCTGGATTTTCACAGATGCCTCCAGTATTCGCATGTTCTTACCACCCAGGAGGAGGGGCGGAGATTTAAAGAGACACAGGTGCTGAGACAGAGACCACGGACTGGACTCACCATGACCTCGGGGTCCCTGGCATCGCCTCCTGCGTCCTCTCAAGCTTGTTGTTAAGACAGGAAGATAGGCCACGCTCAGGGATAATAAATCTATTTTAATAACATTACTTTTGACAACTATTTGTACACGTATTGAAAGGTAACTGTCAACCCCCGGGCTCCATTACAAATTGGGTACTGAGCTGCCCTGCCAGGAAGCGAGCAAAGCCGGGAACGTCAGAAATCAGCAAGTCCCACTGTCGGAGGAGGGTTACTTTACACTTTGTTGGGAAAAATAACGAAGCATTTAAATCTCTCATTGTACACCTGTACATGGGTTTAGATTGAATGGCTCAAATTAAACAAATATAGATTTCATATATACAAATATTATATCCAGTTTAGGTATATCTATTTTAAAAGGATAAAACTGTAAGGTTGGACTCTGCATGCATGACCAGAACCTGCTTCTCTCCCCCTCGTCCCAGGTGTGACCAGAGCCCCCGGGGTCTCCTCCCCCGGGGGTGGCTGGGGGCTCTGCGGAAGGGTGAGCCAAGCTCTGCACACCGCACAGCTTGGGGTGCGGGCCTGGGGGCTCCACGGGCCATGCCCCCTTCCCCTCTGGGCTTTGGGTGACAGGATTATTGCTCTTCACTTCTGACCTCCAGAAAAGGACCCCATTTCTTACTGAGCTGGGGGCCCTGGAGGGCTGCAATTACTGAGACACATCTCAAGTTTTGGGGGGGTGCCTGGGGAGCTACATTTGGGGCCCCCAGACACACTCAAGATCGTTTTTAAAATTCAGAAATAGAAAACCATAAGATAATAAAGGGAGCTTCATTCCACAGTGTGGAAGAGTAAAACAAATTTCATCTTCAGCCATTTCCATCAGAGCCCACGGAGGAAGGTCCGCCCCGGCCGGCCCCTCGCTGTGAAGAGGAAGGCCGGCCAGGGCCCCAGGCTTCCAGGCTCCCGAGAGCGAGACCCCCCGCCCCCCGTCCCTTCCCCTCCCCGCTCTGCACCATCGGGCTGATCTCGCAGGACTCACGGAGGCCGTCGGCACGGGTGACAGGCAGCCCCGGGCTGACCGCCACCACGCCGTGCACGCCCACGCTGCAGGGGACGTTTCCGACACAAGCCCTCTGGTGGGGAGGGCAGTCACCTGGCGTGGAGGCCGGAAGTGGATCAAAGTAGGCACGAAGTCAAAAGGCAAAGATCAAACAGAAGGCCAGCTTCACCACCCGGAGGGGACGAAACAAGTCCGCACCACAGGAACCTGCCACACGGCCACCCGCAGGAGTCCCGCCTGGCGGCGCTGCGACGGCATGGGCCACGTGCGCACGCGTGCGCGGAGCTCCTCACAGGGCCGTGCTCTCCGACTCCTCCTCCGAGTCTCTCTTCTCAGCCACCGAGTGTCGCCGCACGTGCTCCAGGGGCCCGAGGCGCAGCGCCGACCCCAGCTCCACGTGGATGGAGGGCACGTCGAAGTGGACCAGATCTGCAAGGCGGCAGGGGCGGGGGCCGGGCTGAGAGGCGGGGGCCTGGGTTGTCACGGAAGTGCTGGGGCCAGCTGATGCGGGGGGGTCCCCTGAAGCAGCCTCTCGAGGGCCCCGCTCCGCCCGTGGGCCCAGACATCCAGATTCCTACCTGTGGTTCAGGCCCACAGGATCCTTACCCCCTGGAACCAGACTCTGCATATAGAGGACGCCCCCTGGCTGGACCAGCTGACACCGGATTGGGGATGTCAGGCCTGCGTTTAGTTCCCTGGTGTTTGCAGGGATTGGGTCACAGGCTGGGGACACAGTTGCCTCCCAAGTGCGTGGAAGGACGGGGGGTCCTGACACAGTGGCCCAACTCGAGACCACACGTGTATGCCTGAGGAGCTGGCGGACGTGGGGCGAGGGTCTCCCTCAGGACCCCGGGAGTAAGGGGGGCAAGCTGCTCCCTGTGGGCACCGCCACCCCCACCCCCGCCCCGCTCGCCTCCAGTTAGGCCTCTGCTTGTACACTGAGAGGTCACTTTCTGGAAAAGGACCAGGAGGAGGGCTGGTCCCCAAGGCAACACGCGCAGTGTCTGTCCAGACCTCAGCAGGCAGCCCAGGCATCGGACGGCAGGCGCCTGACTCCCGGGGCCGCAGGGCTAAGGGGACCTGCCACTCCCTCCGGGCCTGCTGCGCTCTGGCCTCTGCTCAGCCTTGCTGTCCCCTGAGGTTGAGGGGGGCACTGAGGACCCATACCACCGGGGAGCAGGCCGGGGTGGGGCTTCCCGTTTTTGTCAACCATTCCATCCAAGGAAGACCACAGCAAGTGGACAAACAGACGCGTGGACACCGTCTTCAAAGACACACAAACATGGAAGCTCTGGGACCAAGGTCTTCCTCTCCCCTGCCCCCTCCCCCCATAAAACAGCCCCTTGCCTGACCGAGCAGAGACGGGGGGTGCAGCGCTCCTCCTGCTGCTGGCCTGCCCTGCAAGGTGTGGCACGCCCTGCGGCTTGGACTCAATGCCCCGCCTCTGTCCCCAGGCGGAGAGTGACCTTGGGCGCCTTCCGACCCTGCCTGGGCCTGGCAGTCACTGGTGACACAGGTGGGAAGGTGCCCGCAGGCGAAGCGGGTAAAGGATGCGCAGCCGGAGGAGAGCCGCCCGGAGGCCACCTTGGCTGCTCCTTAGACCACACTGAGCAGGAGGGTAACTCAGGCAGCCGGGAGGCGGTGGGAGAGAACACCCTGCAGATCGCCGAGAAAAGAGAGGCCCATCCTTGGGACAGAGGCCCCAGGAGGCCTGTCAGGGGGCCCGTGTGGGGGGTGGACACCACAAAGCCACTCCTTTCCAGAATGTGCAGCTTTCCCGGGGGGTGGAGGGGACCCCTTGCTTCACTCTGGCTGTCCCATCTGACTCAGGCCCCAACACCTGCTTCCTGCCTGTTCTTACCTCCACTTTCCTTACGAGCTTCTGACCCTTTACAGGAGCAGGAGGCCTGGCAGAAACTGCTAGGAGGGCTCCCAGAGTATTTCATTGAATTGGACAGAAAGGCCCTGGCTAGCTGCATACCTGGGACAACATGAGCTCGGAGTGAATTCTAGAACGGACATTATAGGGGTTCTTTAGAACCTGCTGACCATTCCAGAGGACCGGGCGGGTCCTCTCCCCAGGGAGCCCTCCCCTAAACCCTGGGTACTTGTGCCTCCCCCAACACTGGGCATATGTCGTCAGCCAGCAGGCCATCCAATGAAACAGGCCTGGGAGTAGGGAGGGGGCTGTCACCTCTCCCTTCTAAGCTTGTGTGGGAAGCAGCTGGGGCTGGGTGACCCTGGAGGGGGACAGTGAGGGAGAAGCTGAGCACAGACTCTTTCTCCTCCTGTGAAAAGCAAGGAGGCGGCCGGTGAGCCCCCAGGCCGCGGGAGGCTGCCGTGCAGGTCGGGGTGCATGCAGAGCGCGGGGTGCGGCCTGGCTGCGGGCGGGAGAGGTGAGGCCGGGACCGCTTACCCTGCAATCCCCCTCACGTGTCCACAACCGCGTCCCCCGTGTCACACAGCTGCGAGAACACAGTGACAGGAGTCGGAGAGAGGAAGAAATACGATGAGACGACAACGGAACACAGAGCACGCCCAACATCACAGTCAGAGGGGCCGCAGCAAACCACGACGACCACGCCGCTCAGACCACTGCCCTGCGGGACGAGGGGCCGGGCTGCCGCCCCCCAGGGGACATCAGGATGGGACAGACCGGGCCCAGGTGACCGCTCAAGGGCAGCAGCTCTGAACCAGGGGTGGCCGGGGCCCCCTCCATCCATCAGGGACTCTTCCAGAACCACCAGTGGGAAGGAGGTGGTGCTCACTGTGGTTCTCCAGGGAGGGTTCTCCTTAATGTCTTAAGAGCCTCAGGGTGGACAGAGCAGCTGGGCCTTCAGCACTAATCACATCCAAAGAAAGCCAGATCGCCAGACGGCCGCTCCCCGTGATATATACGTCTGCTCCCCCAACCCCAGGCATGCGCACTGGACTGGTGTCTTCTAGTCAGCAAAGCACTAAACCCACAGGCTCACCTTCCATCTGGTCAAGGGAACCCTCACTCCCGAGGACGGACGTGGGGATGAATAAAAGCACAACCTGGTGTAGTTGGGACCCAGGGCCAGGCTCCAGTGTGTGCGTGGCGTGTCTACGTGGAGGCAGCTGTGTTTATATATGTGTGTGGTGTGTGTGTATATAGTAGGTGTATATATGGTGTATCTATGTGTGATTTATGTGTATCTGTGGTACAAGTGTGTGCGAGCATGCTTGCATGCATGTATCTGTGTGGTGTGTGTGGGTTATGGTTACACATTTTCCTAGAGGAAAAACAGCTCCACCTTTGATGTTACATTTAAAGTAAAACTAATCTTAGTTGTTATGGGCCTGTCCCACAAAGCCCCTCAGAGAACCAGGCTTACAGAATCTTTTCTGAAACTGCATGCTCAGTCACTTCAGTCATGTCCGACTCTGCGTCTTCATGGAGTGGGGCCCTCCAGGCTCCTCTGTCCATGGGATTCTCCAGGCAAGAATACTGGAGTGGGTTGCCATGCCCTTCTCCAGGGGAATCTTCCCGACCCAGGGATCAAACCCATTATCTCTCACATCTGCACTGGCAAGCAGGTTCTTTTCTGAGCCTTTTCTAAATATACTTTGCTAGGAAAAAAACCTTTTTCTAATAAGGCTTGTTTGAAGTGAAGTGAAAGTCACTCAGTCGTGTCTCTGTGACCCCATGGATTCATGGAATTCTCCAGGCCAGAAAACCGGAGTGGGTACCTGTTCCCTTTTCCAGGGGATCGTCCCAACCCAGGGATTGAACCCAGGTCTCCCTCATTGCAGGCAGATTCTTTACCACCTGAGCCCCCAGCGAAGCCCACCAATACTGGAGTGGGCAGCCTATCCCTTCTCCAGAGATATCTTCCCGACCCAGGAATCGAACCGGGGTCTCCTGCACTGCAGGTGGATTCTTTACCAACTGAACTACCAGGAAAGCCCATAGGGCTGTTTAGTTAATAGGAAAATACGTCTTTGTCTCTCAGTCTCTGTTCTCGCGATGAAAACTGGTACCTGAACTGCCAGTGCGGAGCCGAGCAAAGCCCCAGACACACCTGTGCTGTGATCCTGCTTTCTGCCATCACAGTCCAGTCCCTCCTGAAGCCCCCTCTTCCTAGGATGCAGGGTGCTCGGCCCCCAGATGCAGGATCAGAACCCAGGCTGGCGGGTGTTCAATTGGGAGAAATCCTCTAGGGAGCCCCCTCTCTGCAGGACAGCTGGGCCTGGGGCTGTCCACGGCCTCAGGGGGGCTTCTAAGGTGGCCACCCCATATGGCACAAGTGGCACCAGCACAGTCATCCCCGGCAAACGGCCCACCTGCTGCAAAGTCCCCAGTGGCCCCTCCACACTGAGGCTCACAGCGGTGCCATGCGCGCCAAGGTTACCTGTTGACATGCTCTCCCCGGGGGACACGCCGTCCAGTGCGGGATGCTCTGACGACTGCGGGCTGGAGGCGGCGAGGCTGACGGTGGGCGGCTGGGGTGGCGGCAGGGTGGGCCTCTGCCGGGGCTTTGGAGTGGGCCGTGACTTGCTTAGGGCGCCCGTGAAGCCAGAGGGGGAGGCCAGTGGGGGCGCCGGGGCTGCGGGGGAGAGCTGGCCCGATGCCAGGGAGTAGCCCGGGGGATAGCTGAGTCCGTAGGGTGACGGGGTGCTGGGGGGCGTGGGGGACAGGCTGAGTGGGGATGGCTGGCCGGCAGGCTGCTCAGGGAGGGGCCCTGGCTGGCCGAAGGGGACCTTGGGTGGAATGGGCGCCAGCTTCTTGGAAACTGAAAGACGAATCAGCACACAGGGTCATTAAGTGGCACTCGCCATCCATCTGTGTGGCTGTGAGCACCTTTCCCTGACCCCTCACCACCAGTGCCCCCACGCCCAGCTCCTGCCATCCTGAGGGCAGCTGATGCCATTTTTAAAAATTCACCTAGAATGGCAGATTTTCATATCTGCCCACCTGTTCACTAATATTTCCTCCTCTTTTCTGGATTCCTGCTGTGATTGGCACACACACACACACACACCCACCCACCCCAGTCAAACGGGAGAACACAGGTCCCACCCCCAGGCAGCGGCTGAGTTCAGGATCCTCCCATCACTTCACAGTGATACAAGTATCAGGGTGGCTCGGAGAAGGTGGGAGTCGAGGATGCACTGTCCAGGAGGGGGTGATTAGAGACTGGCCTGGACACTGGACAAAGCGACCATCTTCCAGGCAGGAGGCTCTTCTGGCTGAACCTCCAAAGGCTCTGAGATGCCGTAACAGTGACCTCTGAGCCAGAACGGAGGCCCAGAGCCTCCATCACTCAGCCTGTCTCCTCCCTGTCTTTGCCCTCAGTCCCATGTACTTGCCCCGGAAGTGTTTTCCCTTTAAGAATCCCAGGTGTAGATGTGGACAGATCTGCATTGTTCTAAGTGTACCACTTCCCTGACCCCTCTGCACTCTTACTTTTTCCCCTCTTTTCACTTTTTTTGACTCAGGATCTTAGTTCGGTGATGACCAAGGATTGAACCCGTCCCGCTGCAGTGGGAGCAGAGTCTTAACCACCAGATCCCCGGGGAAGTCCCCACACTGCCTTCTTTCATTTATTTAGTGACAAGGGTGGCGGGGACGTACCTTTCCGGAGAGTGTGAGGGCTCTGGTCTGCAGGTGGCTGGCCCGGGCTCGCGCCCGGCTGTACCCCGGGCTGTGTGCCTGCACTGGGTGTCCCCTGGCTAGAACCCGGACTTCCCTTCTGTGCTGATCCTGGAGAAAGCTCTTTGCTTTTAGAAGCGCTATAACATGAGAGAGTTACAAAACAGAGTCAGTCCCTGAACTCAGGCAGCTTCAGCATCAGAATCGTGAACTGAATATATGTTCTCTGGGCAGGCGTGGTCCTCTCAGCCCTTCTTAAGGCCATCAGAGATGCCTGTGGAGGTGACTGGTCCCTCTTGGGGACTCTGAAGGCCCTGAGCTCCACTCCCATCTCCAGGTGGCCCCCTTACGGCCAGCTCCCTTTCCTGGCCTTGGCCCTCTCCCCAACAGACCATCCCAGCAAGTCTCCTCTTTGTCAGTTTCCTCCTCCAGCCAGCAGTCCCTGCTTCCTCTCTCTCCCCTCCTGCATCCTGAAATGGAACCAAAGCCCGTGATTCCATGGCCAGAATCAGCCAAGCGGTTCCTTGTCCCCTCTGGTGGAGCCATCAGTGACTACCCCATCCAGGGTCATCGTCAACCCCTGCCAACTCTATCATTTCCTATCTCACAAGGAAAATACTTTCTACACATTAAAGAAAAAAAACATTCTGCAACCCCTTCACTTAGGGGATTGGTATCTGTGTGCGTGTGTGCACACACACAGGTGCATGCAAAGACTGGCTTGAAAGGTTCAGATTTCCAAAGTCTCCAAAATTTTCCCAATTCCTAACAATGCACAGTGGGCCTGGTGAAGTGGCTTTCTTAATTTTCTGAATTGTTGTTTAGAACAGAGACAAACGGCCAAGGGGTCTGTGCAACCCCGCTGGTAGAATCCCCTCTGACCATGCCCCTCTCAAGGGGGGCTGGGGGGACCTCCTCCCCTGCGCCCCTGGGGACCAGTGACCCTGTGCCGGCGCAGATCACACTTTCCATCTTTGGAGGGACAAGGGCCTTTCTCCATAAAAGCTCGTGGAACCAGCACTGGAACCATCAGGCTCCCCAACTCTTCCTCCTCCACGAGAATGAAACACACGATCTTGTCATCTCCGTCCTTTACCTGACTTGCACCCATTTTAGCAGTAAAGATGGCCCCATGCATCTGAAGGAAGAGGAGTGCCGAGGAGAACCACTGAAGTTCTAAATTTCGAAACAGGCAACAAGCTGTAACAGTACAGNAAGCGAGGCAGCGGCCGTGCTCCACGGAGTGTCCCGCAGCTCCAGGCTGGGGTGGCCCAGGCACTGCTGGCCTTAGGACGCGGCGTGCCCATCAAGCTCCCTGGAGCCCAAGCTTCCCTCAGAGCAGAGAGCGGCTTCTCCGGGGGTGGGGGGTCACCCAATCCTCCCAAGTGGAGGGTGGAGGCGAGGCGGGGCGGGGGAGGGGGGCGGGCAGCATCAGACTAGAACAGAGCACCGACCAGCAGGGACACCTGAACATCCATCCTTCTTTTTGTCACCTGGGGGTCCGGGAGCATAGGACCGACTCAGGACTCCCGGGCCAGCCCCAGGACGTTGTTTTACAACCTCTGCAGGGTCTAGAGATCAGGGCGAGGCTGATCATGCTCTGGTCAGTCCCCGCCCCCGATTCCACTTCAAGAGGGGGGGACACAGCTCTGAGTACATCGGCCAAAGCAACCAGACACGCACATTCACCCCTGCAGAGCTCGCTAAGGCACCACTCGCTATTCCCAAGGACTGCACGTGGCCTCGTGGCTACCCGAGGATACTGTACCTTTGGATTTTCCTAAGGCTGCAGGGACAGAAACACACAGACATTAGTGTGGTAAACACTGCGCCTGCCTCTGGACACACAGCGGCTCTCTGTCAGGGTCAGGGGCTAAGCCTGGGGCTTCCACGGGGCCTTGGAATTGTTTGTTTAGTCCGTCTCTCCAGTTAAAGTGACTTTTCTGTCTATACAGATGAAGAGCATCCTACCAAGCTCACAGGTGGATAAAGACAGAAGCTGAAGAGTTGACACTGGTGCTTGTGGGAGGGGTTGGGGGCATGTCACAAGGAATGGGAAAAAACCCACAGAAGCAGCCATCCACTCTTTTCTAAGTTATATGACTTAGAAGGTGGTCAATCTCCTTTCCTCTGGTCTAGGAGGTGACTGGTTCCATGATACGTAGTCAAAGCCTTCACTGACTATGGCAAGAGCTAATACTGCCAGTGTTAAGGGAGACACAGATGTTCACGCAAGGAGAACCCCGGCCAGTCCCCCGTCTCCACCGGGGATAAGCAGAGGGCTGCCCCTTGCTTACTATCACCCACGCTGGCCAGGAGCACTGAGCTCCCACACCATGACAGTCTGCCCACCTTGCAGAGGTGCAGCGAGAGTCAAACCAAAGGTTTAAGGCTGGGGACTGGTGGTAGCAGGTGGGATGTGGTCCTTTACGGAAATGTACAGGGAGGGAGCCTCCGGGAGGGGCCCAGGGGAGGATGGTGGTACAGCAGGCACACAAAAAGGGACAGCCTCTGACACGCTTTCCCCTGGGGAGGGCGGAGGGAAGATCCCCGAAGGGGAGACACCCCCACCACCACCACGCCGCCCCTGTCTAGTGTCACTGTTAACACATTATTGACTGGGGCATTTTTGCAGAAGGTAACGCTTGTGGTGTTAATACACGTCTGGTCAATAATGCGTTAATAGTTCTCTTCTCCAAGGCATTTTGGGGGCAGCTGGTCTCTCTCTGGGATCCACTACCAACCAGCTTGCAAGTTGTCTTGGCTCTGAGGACCCCCCCAAAAACGGGGGGGGCACCTTCTACAGGGGATCCAGTCACCCCCATAGGTCACTCAAAACTCTGCAGCAGGGTCCAATGGCATCCCCTGGTATTTAAAGTAAGCTGTGGGCAAGTATCAAACTGTGCTCTTTGGGCTTCTAAATTTATCAGGATGAAAAAGAGCAAAAAGCTTAACATTCCACTTGGGGAAGCGAACTGACGCCACTTTGTTGCAATGGTTGGCAATGCTGTTCCCTGTGGTGCCTAGAAGAGCCCGTAAAGAAGGGCGGTCTCATATGTGCAGGTTTTCTTTCTTATCATACTCTCTTTCACTTAGAAAGATCTTCCCCATTTGAGATGGGAGGCATGGGCTTTGGGATCAGGGCTGATAGAGGGAACACCTTCTATTAACAACTGCATCTCGCAGCACCATGGATCCCAGACACCAGGCTACCTGGTGATCTTCTCCTGGTTCACCAAGGGGCGGAGGCGGAGGGAGGACTGACACCACGGGGAGGACGCAGAGGGACGACTGATGAGACCCACTAAATATCAGCAGCAAAGCATCAGCAACCAAGAATCGGAAGGTGAATGGACGCTCCTGCTTTCATAAACAGCTAAGCTGCCTGTCATCACCACTCTTCCAGCTGAAGTGACTTTTGTGGGGCAGGCAGCATGCCCTGTGCCCAGGGAACAGGCATCAAAGGTTCACAGATGTCTTCAAAAGGCAATAAAAATCTTTACAGACCAATGAGTCACAATGGCAACAGTGACAATCTTGGAGGCATCAAAGCATGTTTACCTTCAGAGGCTAATGAAAATTTGCTTGGAACATTGGCAGATTTAAGTGTCCGAATGTCTAGCTTGAACTCCACCCAAAGACAAAATTTATAAAATTGCTTGGCATGTGGCCAAGAGCAAGGGAGCTACTCAGAGGTAGAATATAACCAGAAGGTCACAGAAGCAGGTCACAAGTTTCTGCTCATTGTTCTGTCACACAAACTAATAGTCACAAGAATCAGATAACTTTGTGTTATTTTAAATAAACACCAGATTCAGCAGCCGCCCGGCTAGCTCAGTTGGTAGAGCATGAGACTCTTAAATAAACACCGGATTCAATCCATCGAAAACAACCAACTCCCTTAGAAACTTCACAGATACCCACATTGCTTATGGATGTCAACAATTCCCCACAGCCACTGCTTCAGGTGAGAACGAGAAGAACTTGGTTTTCAGATCCCTTTATAGTTGAATCAAGGCAGAGGTGAGAAGCCAGAGGCCACGAAGAATGCCCGAGAAGCAAAGGGCTTGGAGAGCAATTAGCAGAAAGCAGGATGACGTGGCAAGAGTCCAGGAGGGGACCTGTTCAAGGTTCTCATCTGCTTCCCCTTGGGATTCACACAGGGCAGGCTGGCTAGCAAGGCAGCTCCACTGAAGGCTAGTGTTCCCTGCTTCACTCCTAGCCTACTGGGACCTCGTATTGCAGAGTAGCTTATCCTAAGCTAAGCTTTTCTAGTGACTCAGAAGCTTAGGAATGTGCCTGCCAATGCAGGAAACCCAAGTTCGACCCCTGGGTCACAAAGATCCCCTGGAGAAGGGAATGACTACCCACTCCAGTATTCTTGCCCGGAGAATCCCAAGGACAGAGGAGGCTGGTGGGCTATAGTCCACAGGGTCGCAAAGAGTTAGACATGACTGAGTGACTAATACTTCACACTATAACCTGGCAGGCCACACAGGGAAAAGATAAGATGCAGGACCTTAAAAATTAGGAGACAAAGGCCTGCCCCAGAAAAGAAAAATCTGAAAGTTGGAGATTTCAGCATAAGAACAGGTGTCTACAGAAAGAATACATTTATCACTGGGAATAGAAGTTTGTTCTGGACCGTTCCAAGTGATGAATTGTCAGGGGTTAGCAGCTATATTTCTTTTTGACCTCTGTAGGATAGACATCTGTCATGCTGTTTTTATTTTTTATTTTTGGCCACATCATGTGGCATGCGGGATCTTAGTTCCCCAACCAGGGATCAAACCCACGACCCCTGCAGTGGAAGCGTGGAGTCTTGACCACTGGATCACCAGGGAAGTCCCCGTCATGCTGTTTTTGAATCCTGGTCAGGAAAGGTCTTACCCAGAGATGTTGGCCAGTGTATGGATTTACGTATACAGAGATCGGATAGGCTTTGATTTTTCATCTAGAGATTGGTTACATTTGGAATCACTGGAAAAGACCCTGATGCTGGGAAAGATTGAAGGCAGGAGGACAAGAGGGGACAGAGAATGAGATGGTTGGATAGTATCACCGACTCAATGAACATGAGTTTCAGCAAACTCCGGGAGATGAAGGACAGGGAGGCCTGATGTGCTGCAGTCCGTAGGGTTGCAAAGAGTCGGGCATGACTGAACAAGTCTATCCTCATCTGGAAGGTTTCGATTTTTGTTCTGAAGATCAGTTACATTTGGCAAATACTTGCTGAGAGAAAGGAAGCAAGAAAGCCTGGTATCTCCCCCAGGAGATACCAAAAATCCACAGGAGCTTTGGGAGCTCCTGGACCATTTAAGATGAACTTGGGGGCTGGGCAGCAGTGGCACGGTAGGTGCCAACATGAGAGATGAGTAAGAAGGATCCTAAAGATCCTGGCTCAGCCTTGCCCACACTCCCCCAGGAAGGCCAGAATCAAGTATTTCTAGCTCCTCTAGGGATCATTCTTCTCCTAAATGCATAACAAAGTTTCTTCACCTCCCCAGGACAAATAACAGCCGGAGGTACCAGCCGACATTTCACAGACCTGGTCTCAGCACCCACAAATGTGTGAATCCAGGAAATGTGGAAGCAGAGGTGAAGCCTGAGCCAAGAACACGCCTCCCGAAGGCCGAGCTGACAACCCAAGCCCCAAATATGAGTCAAGGTTTCCATGGTACCCAGAACCTTAAGCTCTGTCTGAAGGAAAATTCCTGCACCCTCTCACCACTCCACAACCCTGTTCAGAGTAGCTGCATTTGGGGTTCTCCATCTTTCTACTTGGTCTTCAGAGGACCCTAGTATCCACAATCACAACAGCAAGCTCCTTGGAACACAAGTTCTATCTCATGACAATAGGCTTTTTGATGTAATAAACTTGGGAAAGGATGCCACAGCCACCTGTGAAGAGTGAGAGATCACAGCATGTAAAAGACCCCACAAACTCATACATTCAGGAAAGAGGCTTCAACGTGTTGAATCATGTGTCTCAGGAACTCATGAGACCCGGGTGTCTATCTCTCCCCGCTGCCCCAACATAACCAAGCATCAGTGGAACCTGTGTTCCATAGAGCACCTCAGGTTGCTCCTGAACCTCTCAATTACACATGCTTATTCCAAATTACAGGCTTCCCTGGTGGCTCAGGGGTAAAGAATCTGTCTGCCAGTGCAGGAGACATGGGTTCCATCCCTGGGTCAGGGAGATCCCCTGGAGTAGGAGATGGCAACGCATTCCAGTATTCTCATCTGGGAAATTCCAAGGACAGAGGAGCCTGGAGGGCTATCGTCCAGAGGGTCGCGAAGAGCCAGACGTGACTTAGCAACTGAACAGCAACAACATTCCAAATCACAGCACCTCCAGGCAAAGGTCTCTGTGTGGACATGCCCGTGGATTCAGTTGCCGCTGTCAGCTGACCCGGTGAGGCCCTCTGAGGATCGGAGCAGAAGTGGTATTGCTACAGGCACGTCAAGTGGGATGGACAGAGCAGCTACACAGTGGGGCATGGCCTCGGTATCCTTTTTCTTTTTTTGGCACACTGCATGGCATGTGAGATCTTAGTTCCCTGACCAGGCATTGAACCTGCGCCCCTTGCATGGAAGCTCTGAGTCCTAACCTGAATTGACAACCTAACTTAACTACCAGGGAAGTCCCCAGAGTCCTTTTTCTTTTTTTTTAAAGCTTGTTCTGATTCTCTTTTGTTGCATAACAAACCATCCTCAAAATTTAGTAGCTTATCGATCCAGGCCACAAATCCACAATTCTGACCGAACTTGGCAGGGTCAGCTTGACTAATCCACATAGCACTAGCTGTGGCTTGACTTACGTAGTTTTAGCCTCTGTACCCCTAAGGCTCCAGCAGCACCTGTGAAACTGCCTGCAGACCCTGGGGTCCCAAAGAGATGGCTCTCTATCCACAGAAATCCTGACGACCCTGGCTATTTATACTCAGAAGACCATACTCATAGGGGCCAGTGGACGCCGAATGCCCCGAGATGCCACAGTGACAACTTTCTCGTAGAGGTCACCTGGATGGCTTTTCAGAGGGGACTGGGAGTCATACGAGGTCTGGCCAGGGAGATGGGGAGCCCAGCTCTGATGCAGAGACACCTGGGCGCGAAGGACCACAACTGACCCTCCAGGGTATCCCCCCAGCTAGAGATGCCTCACGCAGGAACTGAACTGCTTAAAAACCACATTTAAAAGACAAAGCCCAAAGCACTTGCTGGCATCAGGAATGAGGTGACAGGGCCACTTAAACTGCTGGTGGTTAAGTGCCGCCTTCCTGTCGTTCATCTCAGTCAACCCCTCCCTCCCCCAAAGCCGAGAAAGGGACGCAAGTTCATACCCATCCTTTTTGTAAAACTCCAACATCATGTTATCTGTGGCCACACTGAGGGGCCGGCGGGCCTGCTCGGGCTGGCGCCGGTCGGCGGGGTCCATGTCTGGGGAGGGCATTGAGCTGTAGTTGGCGTTGTGGTTCACATGCACCGGACTCCCGTAATTGCCCGTGATGTTGAACTCTATCTCTGCGGGGAAGACAGAATAGATGCACACGGTCTGTGAGTCGGCCAAGCTCTTCCTGGGCAGGAGGGAAACCAGCAGAGAAATGGCCACTCTTTTATGTGTCACCCCTGAAAATCTCATCCCATGGTTCAATGTTAGATCATCTGTTGATATTAACTCATCTTATTATATTTCATCCTATTACCAGGTGAGCCCATGCGCTCACCTAGCATGTAATAGACTAGGGACTTAATAAAGCACTTTTTCATCTGTGATTCACAAAACAAATTCAGTCAAACAGGAACAGATGGGTATTTTCTTTTTGAAAAAAAAAAAAAAAAAAGGCAGAATCATCTGTCTCAATCCTCACATTTAAGACTGAAATAAATGCCAGAGTGGTCTAAATCAAATCAGGAAAAAGGGCAGTGCCCACTCTCAACACTGTTATCTGATATTGTTGAAGTGCTTGCCAATGAAATTAGTCAAGAAAAGAAAATAACAGTCAATATTACTATCTGTAGATGATGATGATGGGATGTCTTTTCAGAAAACCAAAGAGAAAAAAAAATTGCAGGATTAGAAACAGAAAGAGATCTCACTAACACTGCAGGCTCTCAAATGGAGTCTCATCTCATCTCCTCCTGACAATAGCCGATTTATCTGCAGTGCTCATGAGCTCATCCACAGAACCTACAGAGTTTTACCTTGAACTCCTATCTCCTTTGTTTCTTTATCCTGATTTTCTACCACTGGCCAAAGGTGGTATGCACAGGGGGCTTAAAAACAAAACCACACACACACACACACACACACACATACACACACACCCCTTTGGCCAGTGGTAACTCGATTTCAAAGATTCAGAACTCACAGCAACCTCCCGTTCCCCACAGAAGCCTACTCCCACATCAGATGCTGCCACGTACCCCCGGGGAAGAACCAGTCTGCATGTTGAATGATGGGCTCGATGATCCCGACGATCTGCAGCGAGACCGTGGTCATCATCTCCGTGATGTTCCTGAGGGCACAGGGCAGAGGAGGGCAGGTGAGGTGAGCAGCCGAGGCAGGGAGGGGGCCCTGGACCAGAAGCCTGCACACTTGGTTCTGAGAGCATGTGTCCTCCTGGGGAGGGCACTTCACCTTTCTGAAGCTCTCCCCATGTCTACAGAATGGAGACATCCCCAGAAGTCCTCCCTACAGGAGACGAGTGAGTAACACACACAAAATCGCCAAGTCTGCGGACTGATTCTCACAACTGCCAGACTCATCCTTTCCCAGCCCTGTTCTCTCTGTCAAGACAGCACTCTGTCCTTCTGTATCCCAATGATGGGATGTGCTTTCCACAGAGGGCCCAGGGGCTGGAAGAGCTTGCCAGACCTGGTGCTGACCCAGATGAGCTCAGAAAAGACCCTGGCTACAGGCCTGGCTCTGAGACTATCAACAGGAAAGATCTGAAGAATTCTGGGCCTCCTCCTGAGTCTAAAGAAGGACCAGCTCAAGACAGGCATATGACCTGACACATAAATAAGGCTAGTGGTTATCTGGGGCCCTGACCATCCCACCCAGGCCCCCATAGCCCCCAGTGTGACCCACACACCCCTTCCTCCTTGGACTCACCCTTCTGCTTGTGGCCACAGCAGGTTGGGTCCTAATACAATGGCCATGTTACTGGGTGTCATCTTGTTGACATCTTGGTATTCTGAGAGCTTGGATAAAAACTTGATCAAGTATCTGAAAGGAAGTGAGAAGGGCCAGGTTTAATGAGGGCTTAATACCAGCCATGGTCCCCTAACACCAGCTGGAATCATCTTTTACTGACAAGAAGACTCATACATCCTACAATATAATCAAGATGTGTCACATGTCAGGACACAAGAATGCTCCAAAAACAGACAGAGCTCTTCCTGGGCTGTGTCTTGGGCTAGTTGTCAATGTCTGCTTCAACAAACTGTGGCCAGAAAAAAATTCTCCATCCTTCCTTTGACTCAGGGCATAATGCCAGAAATTCCCTCCTTCTTTTCAAACCTCTGTCACCTCCTGTCTTCCCTGTGTGCAGAGGTGAGAAGTAGTGTGTAGGTGTCACTAGTGGGGACATTTTCATGCTAGGAGCAGTGTCTCAGTGGGGCTATGAGAGCCAATGAAGAAAACGTTAGACCTAGACTTAGCACGTGGCCCAGCAATTCCACTCCTAGAGAAATGTGGACGCGAATGTTCCCAGCAGCATTATTCATCATAGCTGAAAAGGACAGACCACCCAAATATCCATTAAGGGACAAACAGATGAATAAAACGTAGTCCCATCCATAGAGTGGAGTACTACTCAGCCCTGGACAGGACTGAAATACTGACACATGCTACTACATGGATGAACCTCGGAAACTTGATGCCAATGGAGAAAAGCCAGACACAGAGACCCGAGGGTGAATGACTCCATCTGTATGAAAGGCCCGGCGCAGGCAAATGGACAGAGACAGAATATAGATGAGAGTTTGCCAGGGGCTGGGTAAGCAGAAATGGGGAGTGACTGCTGATGGGAACAGCATTTCTTTGTGGGGTGATAAAAATGTTTTCAAATTACACAGTGGTCATAGCTGCACAACTCTGCAGATTTACAAAAACCCACTTAACTGCACACTTTTAAAAGGGGACAATGGCATATGAATTGTTATGTCAATAAAGACATTATTAAAAAAAATCAGTGTGTGAGTAGCTGTGCACAAATGAAGCATAAAAAGAGCTCTCGCAAACCATACCAAACCTGCCTGGTCCCGCACAGGCCCCAGACCCCAAAGCCCATCTCTTCCCGGGCTCTTGGTTATATAGACAGTGGGTCCAGCCCCATGCTGCCTGGACCACAGTGAAGTGGCTCCTTCAGCAACTGTTGCCCACAGAGCACAAAGACCCTAAGCTGCTGATGGGCCACCTCCACCCACATCCTGCTGCATCACACCCTCCAAGAGGCCACACATGCCTTGACCAGGATATGGGACCTGAGCTGAGTATGGTCAATCCACGGGCTGGCCAGTGGCCCAGCATCACTTCAAGAATCATTCTTGCTCTTGATCTGATTCTTGCTCGTAGGATGCTTTCTTTCAATTTTGTATATATTTAACACTTTAAGCATTTTAGTGTGCAGTTCATTAGCATTACTTTCCATTATGATGCAACCATCACCACCATCCATCCCCAGAATTTTTCATTACCCCAAACTAAAGCTGGACACCCATGAAATGACAGTCCACCTGCTGCTCCTGACCCCTCCCCGGTTACCCTAGCCACCATTCTACATTCTGGCAACCACTATTCACTTTATATTTTTATGAATTGACTACTGTATGTACTGCTTTTGAGTGGAATTGTTCAGAATCTCCCCTTTTGTGTTTGGCTTCTTTCATTTAGCATACAGCCTTCAAGGTTCATCCATATTGTAGCAAGAATGAGAATGTCTCTTCTATTTGAGGCTGAATACTGCATTGTATGTACTTTTTGTTCACCTATATTTATCCATTGCTGGACATGTGGGCTGTTTCCACCTCTTGGTTATTGTGAATAACGCTGGCATGAACGTAGGTGTACAAAATCAAGTCCCTACTTTCCGATCTTTTGGAAATACACCCAGAAGTGGAATTGCTGGGTCATACAGAAATCCTATGTTTGTCTTAGGACCCGCCATGAGAAGTCACTCCTGGGATTTTTAACAGGAAAACAGAAACAATCAGGCAGATGGCAGTAGGAGCTGAAGCTGAAAATATGCATCTAAGGAAGCTCCAAGGATGGGGGGAGGGCCAAGAGCATTGCTGGTGCAAAGTGATGAGGAAGCAGAAAGTGGGAAAGAGCATAAGTCTGGGAGGGAAGAGAAGCACAGAGCAGTGGGAAGTGAAACCTGGGTGAGGGTGAGAAAAGTAAGAGACAGACACATGGAAAATTGCTGGTGACAAGTAGAAACCAGAGAACATTCTCCCAGCCTCTTCCTAAAGCCTGGCTCCAGGAAAAAACTGCCAAGTCCAGCTCAGGGTCTGGTCAGCATCGCCCCTGGGATCCACAGACACCTATCTTTACAATAAATCCTGGTATCTGAAAGCAGCCTGCATTCATCCTTGCTCCTTGCAAACCAAAGAACTGTGTCAGCCAGCAGCTGGTCAGGTAGCCCTCAACATCCCACAGCCCCATACAGTCTGTTTCCTCATCTTCAGGATGGTAATTCACAACCTCCCAGGATGGCTTGAAGTTGAAAAGAGACCCTGCGTGTTAAATATGGTTTGGACACCATGTAACGCCAAGCTTGCCAGTGCCCACGCCTTTTGGCCAGGAAACGTGTGTCTGAGGCTTAAATAACCTTGACCCAGCGTCTCCAGTGTCCACTCACCGGATGTTGTTGTGATTGGCTTTGGGCAACTTCTCACACGCGTTCCACAGCGCCTGGAGCCTCTTGTCCTGGTCCTGGATGCTGGAAAATGAACAGGAAAATGGACTGGTTGAGTACAGGCCAATGAAGTCTTACCAGCACTCAGACTCACCAGCCATTGAAGTATTTGAGAAGAGGAACCAGTCAGTGACCATATCAGTAAACTATTTTCATTCACATCTTCGGTTTTTGTTATTTCCCCCTCAGTAATCTTTCGGCCTTGGCAGTGCTGTTTTAACAGTACTTCCCCTGCACACATCACATGGCCCAGGTCAGCGTGTGCTGGGGCAGCAGGTGAGGGCGGAGGGCAGACACCTGCACCTGAGCGGATGGGGCTGTGATGTCATCGGGAGGTTGGTTCCATCACAAAACAGGACACCAGAAACAGCTCAGCTCCACCTTCACACCACCATGGCAGCCAGCTGGCCAGTCCCACAGATAGTTTAATGCACATTAAGCTTCTCAGCATGTGGAATGTAACAGATGCTCAATAAACACCTTCTGAACAAGTAAATGACATGAACTCATATAGATATAAGGATATCTGACCCTTGAAGACACAACTCAGAGATGGATAGTTTCCACAACCAAAGGATTCTCCATTCTACAGAGAGACTTGCTCGCAGGGTTTCTTTATTGATAGGTCTTCTAAGGATTAAAAGAGATTACTGAAATGTCTATATATATTTTTGTTGTTGTTAGGACTACATTTTTAAATATACATTTTTATGAAAACCTACATCAGGGTTTACAGGGTTAGGAAGACCTTATGCTCAAAGAACCTTTTAACAAGAAAAACTGAAAAGCAAATACTGCCAGGAGGCTCAGCTCTGACCCTCTGACTCACAACCCAAGGTAGGGGACGGCCATCGTGGGGCCCCCAGAAGTCCCTGCTTCCATCCTGACCAAGGTGAGAAAAACTCCCTTTTCTGCTCATCAGTCCTCTCTAAGGTCAAAAGGCAGATGTTTCCAATGTCTTTCCTTCAATAAAAAATCAACATCCATATGGGACTTTCTTCGGGGTCCAGTGGTTAAGACTAGCCACTCTCAATACAGGGGGCATAGGTTTGATCCCTCTTCAGGGAACTAAGATGCCACATGCCGAGCATAGCAAAAAAAAAAAAAAAAAAACAAACAGGCAAAAATAAAATAAAATTAACACCCACATACTGAGGGTCTCCGGCGTATCAGGCAGTGTCACAGGGGTTAGGGAGTGGGAGGCAGTCAGAAGAGACGGTCATCCCTCCCTGCCCCCATCAGCTCACAATCCAACCAGTCACACAAACACAGCCTTGAATTTGATCAGTCCCTGCAGAGAACCCGAGGGATGGGGCAGACCCTGACTACCAGCTGCTGGGCACCAGTTTTCAGGAAGGAGGCCTCTCTGAGGTGACCTTCAGGGTGGGACCCAAAGAGTCAGAAGGAGCCTAGGAGGCAGAAATTTTGGGGAACCAAAACTTGTTGCATTGCAGGAATGGCCAGCGTGAAGAGGGGTCTGGGAGGTGATGGGAGCCCGGGGCCTCCCTGAGTCCTCTTGAAGGCCCAGCTGGGGCTCTGGGCCACTCTGTGGCTCCAGCCTGCGACCCACACCCTGGGACCTGGCTCTCCGGGCACACGTACAAGCCTCTCCCCATGACACACACCAAGATGCAGACTCGCCGGATGCGGCACCCCTGCACAGTTTCAATCAAGGCTCCACATAAACCGCACCCACAGGACACGTGGAGACCCAGAGTACTCACTTGGAAGCCTGAATCCACTCGTCATAGAGTTCAAAGGTCATCAGAGGTTCTGGCAGCTCCCGGAGGTAAGACTTGAGAGCTCCTGGACGTGAACACCGTACGGGCCGTGAGCTGCCGGGATGCGGCAGACACCTGCTACCAGCCAGCGTCACCACGGGGGCCAGGTTTGGGGAGGATGCCCCAACCCTCGTGACCAGGTCACATGGTGGCTGCCACATGCCTGGATCCAAGGCTCGGGCGTGGCCATGAGGGCCTCCTCTCTCATGTTACCACCATCAGCGCCTCCCCTGGCACCTTGGGGATGGGGAGGCCTTCCTTCAAGGGCACAGCAATCAGGCCTAAGGTGGGGTCCTGAGTGGACATGCCCGGAGCATGGTGGGGAGCCAGGGGCTCGAGTGTCCCTGACACGGGGCTCCACCTCTTCCACTCCCACCCCTTCCCCTGGAGCTCCTCCAGCGGCGGGGCCCACCTGCGATGGCGTGGGGGTCCGCCGAGCACTCCTGTACGTCCACCACACAGCAGTCCAGGGCTGCCTTGAGCTTCTTCAGCTTGGAGGCAGACGGGGCTACTCGGAAGAGGCCCTGCCAATAGGACAGGGGTCACCAGACTGCCTGCACCTCGAGGGCACCACAGCAAGACTGCCGGCAGGCAGTCTCCCCAGCCCTTTCCTCCACCATCTCCCAGGGGCCTCCTTCCCACCACCACGTGTCAACACTGGGGCAGCAGGACCAGGGTCTCATCCCTGGCTGTGGCCTCGGCACCTCGTACAGGGTGACCCGGCGTTCTGCTTCAGTATGCACTTGATTAAATGAGCCCTAGGCAGTTTGACATCCCGTTCTTGTGTATTTAAGATATATTTTGGAAAAACAAAAACACTAATTTGAAAAGATACATGCACCCCTGTGTCCACAACAGCATTATTTGCAATTACCAGGACACTGAAGCAACCTAAGTGTCCACTGGCAGATGAATGGATTAAAAAAGATATGGCAGGTCTATAAAATGGAATAGTACTCAGCCATAAAAATGAATGAAAATTTTGCCATCTGCAGCAACATGGATGGACTGAGAGATTATCATACTAAGTGAAGTTAAGACATAAGGAGAAATAGTGTATGGCATCCCTCATATGTGGTATCTAAAAAGAAATGGTACAAATGAGCTTACTTACAAAACAGAAACAGATTCACAGACTTAGAGGACAAACTTACTGAACTGATGGTTGCCGGGGGAAGGATAGGAGGAAGGGATAGTTAGGGAGTTGGGATGGACATGTACACATTGCTATATTTAAATTGGATAATTAACAAGGACCTACTGTATAGCACATGGAACTCAACTCAATGTTATGTGGAGGCCTGAATGTGAGCGGGTTTGGGGGAGAATGGATACATTTGTATGTATGGTTGAGTCTCTTTGCTGTTCATCTGAATCTATCACAGCACTGTTAATTGGCTATACCCCAATAAAAAATAGAAAGTTTTTAAAAAATGGGGAAAGAAAAGGCTCCATTCACCTCCCTCCATGAAACTTTCCCTCAGGGACTAAAAAGACCTCATCTTTTCATTGGAATTACACATGAAAATGCCTGGCATTTAAAACGGGGTTAAAAAAAAACCTTGTTTTGAATAAATCAGGCTTATTTGGCAGACACTACACTTATCTGCTCCATAAGCTCATAAGCCCCCTTTTATACTTTTTAAACAGCTCACTCTCTTATACTTTTCTTAGTAATAAATACCATTGATAAATATTGATTGGTTGATCAGATCACAGGAAAGTAGAGTCATGATTTTTAAACTGCCTGCCTAAGAAACTAAAGATGAGGTCTACCTCCCAGGAGACCACTGACATAGCAATAAAAACAATGGTTGCCAATGTCTCATAGGATTGTTTTTTAACATGTGGCTTATAAGGAGTGCTTTCTAATGTCTGTATCAATTTTCAGGATGTCTATAAAAAAAGTTATGATCTAAAGGTTAAAAGGTCTATGTTTTAAATTAAGGAGAGAGGAGGTGGAGAGTGGGGTGGAGCAGGAGGAGGAGAAAGCCCCAATCTCATTACATATGCAGACAGGAGGGCTGGAGCGGGGCTATAAGGTCCTCAGGGCGGGGTATCATGTCCCACAATCCTCCACTGTCCCTGGAGAAGGAAGGCTCATGGGAGAAGCAGGACCAGTTTGAGGACAGGGGGCTTGTACTGCATCTTCCCAGGCTTGGGTTTGTGGGGCCGGGTGGGGACGGTAACAGAGGAGGAGAGACCCTAGAGGCTCCATATCGCGGGCGAGGAGATCTGCTCACGGCGGAGCTCGGCTGTACCCAGACGCACCTCCTCCTGCATCCCGCATTCCAGCAGCATCGTCACGCACGCCTCGATGGGGAAGGCGATCTCCCGGCCGCTGATCGAGAGGTGCTCCTCCAGCGGCTTCCCAAAGGAAGGCTTCTCCACCCAGGCCTCTGGGGGGGGTGCAGGTGGAGCAAGAGAGGGGTCAGCGCAGGTCAGCCCCGCGGGAACCTTCCTTTCCTCCGGTCACACTGCTTCTCCTAAGTGTCCCAGGGACATGGAGCAGTGGACATGGAAGCATTGTCCGACAATGTCCATGGAAGCACTGTCCAACTGCAGCATCGCCAGTCCTGCAGTTTCAGGGGATGACGGGGACGAACTGGGGGAGGCGGTGGAAGCCAGCCCGCTGTAAGCAGAGCTGCTGGGCTTCCTGTTACACACGCACCTCCACACACGCCCATGCACACCCGTCTCATCCCCGCTGGGATGGTGTGTGTGTGTGTGTGTGTATGTGCCCTGCTGTCCTGCCACTGGTCACGGTGCCTGCAGGCGGAGGCCCCGGGCTCACGTGACGGCGGCCCTGCCGGGGAGGAGCAGGTGAACCAAGCATAGGGCCGTGGATGGCAGGCTCCCCGCCCTCCCTGCCCCAGGCCAGCTTGGCACTCACCCTGTTGTGCTTTTATCTGAGGCAACACGGCCTGCAGGAGTGTCAGGGTCTTCCTATGGTACTCGGCCTGCACTTCAATGAGCTGAGGGGACATAAGAAGAAGCGTCAGCCTTTGCCGGAGGATGGAGGGCATGGGCTGCCACACCACTGTGGTGCCCTGCCCCCTCCTCCACCCATCTGCAACGACGGGCATTCGTCCCCTCAGCCTCTGCAGCACAGGGGTGACCATAAAGGGAAGTTTTGGAGGTGGGAGACTCGGGGAGGAGGTGACGGGGACTCTCCAGAGTTAGGCCTGCCTTCACTGCCACCCCAGCTGGGGAGCACCCTGCCCCCATTTCTCACAGCAGAAGGCACTGAAGGGGTGCAACCCTGAAAAGGCTATAAACAGAGAACACATTCAGAAATCCAGGTGTCCATGAGAGGGCACCCAATGCCATGAGCCTCAATGTATCTTGATTCCCCCCACAAAAGACTTCAAGATACAACTGGTGGGAAAACATGTGCTCGATCCACAATCCTCTTCCACCTTGGGAGGCAAAACTGCTTTATCGTGATATGATTCAAAGGACAAAGTCCTTCAAGATGCTCTATTCTGCCCCTCCCACTACTGAAAAAGCTGCTGAAATGGTAAAAACAGCAGAGGAAAAGCAGTGAATAACTGGCACTTCATTTATTTTCTAAATTTCTCCCTGCTCCAAAAAAAAAAAAGGAAAGAAAATTGGGTATGTAGGAGGAAAAAGGAGAGAGAGGCACTTTGCTCAAAAGTCTGGTGTGATGAGTAGCTATTATCCCCAGAAAACTAAAAGGGAATTTTTTCTTTTTTTAAGTCATAGTGTTGAAATAAGTGGTACCCAAAGACAATTAGGTAGTCCAGTAATGCTTGGAATGCCAACAATCATTTGTTTTAGATATTTTAAAATGAAATATTATCTTCACAAATAAAACCGATGGCATTTTAGACTTGAAAGAATAGACTTGAAAAGAATCCTACTATTTTAAAGTAAATGTTTCAAGTTGGAAGGAATATGTATCAGCTCTCTCTCAGTGGGGAAGAAATTCTGGACTTCTTGGCCATTGATGCTGAGCATGCAGGGGAACACTGACTACCCCCAGTTCTGCCCCACGCTTATCAAAGCATCCAGCTTCTCAGGATTCCTCTTCTCTCTTCATCTTCTTTCCCTGTCTTTGTATCACTTCCTTGACCCTAAAGAGAAACTTTGAGTTTTATTCCCAATGTTATTTTTCATTTCAGGGTCCTAATTATTTGGGCCACATGATTCAAGTATAGATGACTCAGATCCTGTGTCTCTACTCTGTAAATCTGCTCCCATAGAGGAGAGGCAGTAAACAGGCATCAAACCTCATTTACCAACTTGTCATCATCTGGGACAAAAAAAATCTCCATTAATAACCAACAGATGCTGGGGCGCGGCTAGCTTCTTCTTTCCAAGTTGCTTCCTGATGACAGACTCAGGTTTTGCAACCCTGACCCTGCTGACATCTGGGGCTGGATCACCCTCTGTCGTGGGAGCTGCCGTCCTGTGCACTGTGGGATGTTTAGCAACAAACCTGACCTCCACCCTCTGAGTGCCTGTAGCACCTTCCCCTGATAGTGACGGCCAAAAACATCTCTGCTAAGTGACTTCAGTTATGTCCGACACTTTGAGACCCTATGGACTGTAGCCTTCCAGGCTCCTCTGTCTATGGAACTCTCCAGGCAAGAGTGTTGGAGTGGGTTGCCGTGCCCTTCTCCAGGGCATCTTCCCGACCCAGGGATCGACCCGGTGTCTCTTAAGTCTCCTGCAGTGGCAGGCGGGGTCTTTACCGCTAGTGCCACCTGGGAAGCCCCCCTCAAATGTCTCCAGACACAGCCAATCATCTGCTGGGAGATGACAGAATCACCTCTGGTTGAGAACCACTGCCATCGATCACAGAGGTACAAACATCTTCATGGGTGAGGCTGAACTTTATTCTCAGGGTTTTGGAGAAATCCATACAAAGGGGACTAGAAGGCAGGATTTATTCACAGGTCGGACAGTCAAAGCCCCACCTGTTCTCAGGACATGCTCAACTGAGGCATCCTTGATTCGAGGCCCGCGTTCCTTCCCGTCCCCACTGTGACACCTGCTAACAGACTCCAAGCAGCCTCACCTTTCTGGATGCTTACCGTCTGAAAGTAGTTTGCATAGTCGATTTCTTTGGCCACAAAACTGTACATGTCAGCCGACAGCTGGTCCTGTGGGGGCAAAACACAAAAGGATAGAGAGTAGGAATCCACACATCAGAGGAAAGAACCGTAACCATGGTTTAACCTCATTTTTCATAATACTAAGCAGATTACAAACTTTGCCTGTGGACATTCCGTCTCCCAACCTAAAGGCTCTAAAGGATGACTAAGTGGAGAAAGAACACCTATGCCAGTGTTTTCCTAGCGCTTTTAACGTGGGCCACGTGGAGAGTTAGGAAAGCTGATGCGGGGGAATGACACGCAAATTGCTTCCTTGCATCTCTGTGGCGCGCCCTGCTATCGGCAGCAGCCCCGCCAGGTACACACTGTGCTTCTGCTTGCCCCCCCTTGCCGCTTCTTCCCCTTGATGATGCTACTGCCTTGCTCCCTTCATCTCAATTCTGACTGGTTGATCACAGGGAAAGAGAGGCGAACACACCAAGTCGAGGGAAGCTGGTTAAGACAGGTGGGCAGGGGACGGACCGCTGATTCCAAACTTGGCAAAAAAAAACCAAACCAAAACCTGGACTCAGCCAATATCATACATGAATCTCAGTGTGAAAAGCCCTTCACCACTCAGCTCCCTGAGGGGCTGAGAATAGTGGCTGAATGCTATGTCTGGACCACGTTCCCTCCAAGGAGGACAGTGGTCAGTTTCACTGAAACACCCCCAGCACAGCGCAGTAGAAGTGCATTCGAGTGGATGTAGACTCTGTCACACTAACTGTATCTTTGAGCATGTCACACTCTCTAAACGTGTTTGTACAAGTCATGTGATCTCTGACATCCCTCCCTGCTGGGTAGCCTTTGAGGCAGAGCTTCAGAAGAGGTGCTGAGTTAAGAGAAAAAGTATCTATCACGTTCAGGTTGGAATAAATAGGAAAATATCACCCCAACGCTTATAGCAGTGCTATTTCCAACTGCCAAGATATGGAAGCAGCCCAAGTGTCTACTGACAGATGAACAGATCAGGAAGATGTATTGTTTAGACAATGGAATACTACTCAATAAAAAAAAAAAAAAGAATAAAATCTTGCTGTGTGTAACAATGGACGGACCTAGAGGGTATTATGCTAAGTGAAATAAGTCAGAGAAAGACAAATACCTCATGATTTCATACATGCAATCTAAAACACAAAACGAAACAAAAACAGACTCATAGATTCATAGAACAAACAGTAGTTGCCGTAAGGGGAGGGGATGGGGGGATATGCAAAATAGGTGAGGGGGATGAAGAGGCATAAACCTTCAGTTTACTTAATAATTAAGCAATGGGGATGTAACACAGCACAAGGAAGACAGTCAATTATACTGCAATAAATTTGCATGGGGACAGACAGTTACTAGATTTATCATGGTGATCATTTCATAATCTGTGCAAATATCAAGTCATCATGTACCACACCAGATACAAACATGGTATTGTATGTCGACTATATCTCAATAAAAAGGGGAAAAAAGCACAGGAAAGCTGACCCGAATGCTGAAGGAATTACAGCAGACAACTGCATAATTCAGGAAGAGTCTGATATACACAGAACCTCAAGCATTCTGCACAGACCCCGATAACCTCAGCAGCCCCTCCAGCTGCTAATCAAACTGTCCTCTGTGAGCAGGGGGATGGGAGGAGTAATCTGTTTCCTTTTCCAGTATCCTCAACAGGCAAACATCCTTAAAGCATTCTTGCACACAAGATGATAGAACCAAGACACCAATTTCACATGACTAGCTACCAAAAGTTCAAGGTACTTTTCCCAAAGAATAAAATGGGCTCCAGGACCACCCACCTCAGGTCCCCTCCACTTCAGCATCCTTTACAATGAATGCCTCCGGGAGGCGGCTGGACCTGTCAAAGGTGCTAGAGTAAGTGGTTTGGTCGGAACTCAACCTCGCCTGCCATGGCCCCAGCAGCCTTGGTCTGGAAGCATCCATCACCAGCCCGACAAGTGTGAGGGAGATAGTTCAAGTCAGGGAAAGACAAACGGTGGGGTGATTAAAAAAAAAAACACGACTCGGTAGACAGAGGCAAGGAAGGGAGCCTTGGGAAGGACTAAATGCCACATCAGTTCAGTTCAGTGCAGTTGCTCAGTTGTGTCCAATTCTTTGCAACCCCATGAACTGCAGCATATCCATCACCAACCCCCAGAGCTTGCTCAAACTCATGTCTATTGATGCCACATCAAATCACCTTCAACCACTCAGCAGATGATCTCCGTAAAGCCAGCCCAACGGGGTACGCCCTCAGGAACATGAAGGGGTTTTCTGAAGGCACAGTCACATCACTGTCTCATAAAGGTAACAATATAGATTCCAAGTGAGCCACACAAGTGAGAAATAAAAGTGGAAACTCTAAACCAAATTTTCATTTATCTAAATAAAATATTTATAATTTAATATTATTAAATATTTTATTCATAAACATTATCAATATAATTTAATATTTAAATAAAGCGTAGGGGGCCCCTACACTTTTGCTGAGTTTTTCCTCCTGGAGTACTACCAAGTTCTTACAGTGAACAGCAGAGAAAAGTCCTCTCTCGTTTTTCCCAAGGGGAAGGGAAAAGATTGCCATTTTGAAAAGGACTAGAGCATTCTACTGTTAGCAAGACCTAACCTTAGGAGAATTTTTCTTTTATTCCTGGCTGTGCCATGCAGCTTGTGGGATCTTAGTTCACCAACCAGGGATTGAACAAGGGACCATAACAGTGAAAGTGTCAAGTCCTAACCACTGGACCACCAGGAAACTTCAAGGATAAATTATTTTATCCCAGTAGAACCTGCTGGGATGCTTTCAAATTGTGATGCTGCAGAAGACTCTTGAGAGTCCCTTGGACTTCAAGGAGATCAAACCAGTCAACCTCAAAGGAAATCAACTGTGAATAGTCATTGGAAGGACTGATGCTGAAGCTCCAAGACTTTGGTCACCTGATGTGAAGAGCCAACTCATTGGAAAAGGCCCTGATGCTGGGAAAGACTGAAGGCAACAGGGGAAGCGGTCGGCAAAGGATGAGATGGTTGGATGGCACCGTCAACTCAATGAACATAAATCTGAGCAAACTCCAGGAGACAGTGAAGGACAGAGGAGCCTGGTGTGCTGCAGTCCACGGGGTTGCAAAGAGTCAGACATGACTTAGCAACTGAGCAACAACCTGCTGGGGTTATATCAGAGCCCTACTAAACACTTGCTTTTAGCAGACCCTAGCCTTCCTCACATTGAGAAAGAATTAATCAGCTCCAGCATCCTCGAGCCATCCTGTCCTACCAAAACCAAAAACTGAGAGGCTGGAAACAGAACGAAAGACAACAGAGAAGCACTGAAGTTCAGGGTGCAGGGTCGCAGGTCACCCACAAGACTCACACCCAATCACAGAGCTACGGGGGCTTCCCCTGTTCCCACACCTGACTACTACATCACCACACGCCTACGCACCACAGGTCCCTCTACCCAATCCTTCGTGTCCACCTTTTGACAAAAATTACAAGGCATGCTAAAAGGCAAAAACACAGTTTGAAGAAACTGAACAAGCATCAGAACCAGAGTCAGAGGTGTCAAGAACACTGAAATTATCAGGCCAAGAATTTTTTTTAAAGATATGATGAATTCTGAAAGCCCCAGCTCTCAGGGTTCGTCCTGGGCTCTTTCCACATGCCAGCTGACAAGTCTGGGGACACAGACTCAACCAGAGGCTCACTATTAGGGTTTTCATAGACCTCCGGCAAACAAAAGGATCCTCCCTGAGGGCCTCCTATTTTTCTTGGTGGAGAGGAGCACAGAAAGGGGGTACCCTGCAAATCTCCACTCTGTTGGCAGCCTCCTCCATCTCCTCCCTGAGGGCATCGGCTTTGGCACCCGCAGGCTGTGAGCTGCTGGACAAACCTGAAGACTTGGATGTCTGCTGCCACCTGATGAGAAAACAGGAGAAAAAGAGGAGAGGTGTGAATAGAACTTGGTCCCTGCCTTCGAGGAACTTAGATTCTAGTCAAATTAGGCATAAATATAAGTTGAATTTCAGTACAGTGTGGGTGTTTTTTTCTTTCAGCATTTTCAGACATTCTACGTCTGAGTTGATGAGCCTTACAAATTGGAGTTTGTGCACATACAAAATAGTCAAAAGCACACACCTTAGCTCTTTAGGGCTCCCACCCTTTCACCACTGATGCACGAGGCTCCAAGCTTTCCCCCTGTGCAGCTTCAGAATTTCAGTGTCTTTTAGTGACAAGTTAGAATGGCAGTGAAAGCAAACACTCTGGGATTAGAAAGGGAAAATGCATGGTGAATTGGACTCAACGATAACTTTTGGCAAAGAACATTTTCCATGTAGCGTGTGGAATCTGATGCCTTATCAACCCTGACAGGGCTTCCCAAGTGACTCAGTGGTAAAGAATCCACCTGCCAAAGCAGGAGACATGGATTCAATCCCTAGGTTGGGAAGATCACTTGAGAAGGAAATGGCAACCCACTCCAGTATTCTTGCCTGGGAAATCCCATGGACAGAGGAGCCTGGCGGGCTATATTTCATGGGGCCACAAAGAGTTGGACACGACTGAGCATGCATGCATGTGAAACAGGTAGAGAAAACTCTGGGGACACTGTGGGAGGCTGGGAAACATTTGGTTAGGGGTCTCACCCAGGGAATGACACAGCCTCATTGCCAAGAAGAGATCAAGAAAAGGTACCCAGTACCAGACCAGGAGAAAGGGGGCCCCAGCGTCCACATGGCAGGACTAAGAGAGGCTGACAGTGGCCCCTTCAGACAGAGCAAGTGTTCTCCAATTTGCGACACCTTCCCTACTGTCTCCGGAACTGGAGACATGGATTCAATCCCTAGGTTGGGAAGATCACTTGAGAAGGAAATGGCAACCCACTCCAGTATTCTTGCCTGGGAAATCCCATGGACAGAAGAGCCTGGCGGGCTATAGTTCATGGGGTCACAAAGAGTTGGACACGACTGAGCATGCATGCATGTGAAACAGGTAGAGAAAACTCTGGGGACACTGTGGGAGGCTGGGAAATATTTGGTTAGGGGTCTCACCCAGGGAATGACATAGCCTCATTGCCAAGAAGAGATCAGGAAAAGGTACCCAGTACCAGACCAGGAGAAAGGGGGCCCAGGGTCCACATGGCAGGACTAAGAGAGGCTGACAGTGGCCCCTTCAGACAGAGCAAGTGTTCTCCAATTTGCGACACCTTCCCTACTGTCTCCGGAACCCTAAGGCCAAATAACATGACCGCTACTTTCTCTGAAGCATGGTCCAGGCTGTTCCTTTTAGTTCCCTGCCCATCGGGCATTGAGTTGGGAAAACTTCATCTACTTGGCGAAAGTCAACCATGGATACTAAGAGAGAGGATAAATGGGTAGGATGAAAACAAATGTGAAAGTCAAAATCTCCACTAGGAAGTGCCAAGCAGCCTTGGACCAGCATTCTGATGCCTCATGTAAATTTTCTTAAACATTTATCTCCGGGCAGAGAATACTGGCCTTCTAAGGAGGCCCCTTGGGAAACTTTCAAGGGGAAGCACAAATATTTCTGGTTGCTCCTCCAATTAAAAAATGAATTTAAAAAGCTATTTCCAGTTGCTAAGTTATCATCAAAGAATTACCAAAAGCAAGCCCTGACAGAAGGTTCTAATTACACTAAGATGCTAGTAGCTATCTCAGGGAACAGCAGTGGGGCCTCTCTCACTGTGGCAGTAAACTCAACAGTCTATAGACCCCAGCAAGTGGGAAAAATAAGTCAAATGGGTCATTATCTTAAAAACTCACCCACCCAATCATTTATTTCCTCCTTGTAACAGGGACACGAGATAGAAGCTGCTTCTCAGCTCTAAGGCAAATAATCAAGTCATCAGGGTGGCAAAGGCAGCTGATGCCCGGCTGCAGTCTGGGAAGACAGTGGGTAAGGGACCTGGCATGGACTCGGAGGGGGTGGGGGTGGGGATGGTGGGGCCCAACCAGGAGCCTGGGCCTTGGGGAGCTGGATGTTTCCATGGACAAGCTGGGAACTGTCAAGTGTACTCATCAGATGAAATGTGGCAACAGATTAAATAGTGTCCTCTAAACACCATGCAGCCCCGGGGCGGATGGAACAAACCTGAGAGCCCTGCCAGCTCCATCTGGCTCCTGGACCGTTCACCCAACGTGGAGGCAGTCTTACCCTCATTGTGAGAATCAATAATAGACTCACTAAGTGTTTTCTCTGCACAATTCTTTCTTACTGTGTTATGTGCAAGAAAAAGATTAAGGGAGTGGAGCTGTATCACAATACCAAAAAGGAAGAGATCAGTTCTCTTTGTCATTAGCAAAAAGTAGCAAAATGAAGAATCTTCTGTCACTTAAAAAAGTGCACCCATGGAAGAACTACTTTGAAAGGCATTGGGACATCAAGCTGGCTTGAAGGTACAGCGATGGTCACGTGTGTCCTGAGAAAGATTCCTTACTCATGATAAGAATTCAGGAAAAATTAGAAAGGAAATATTCTACTCCAAAATGTCAAAAAAAAAAAACAAAACAAAAAACTCTAAGCTAACAGGTAAGGATTAGTAGAAATGCCTGGGTAATTCTTTCTTATAATGGCTTGCCGTACAGAAATGATGTATTTATTATTTTTTTTAAATTAATTAACTAACTAAAGTTCTGGCTGTGCTAGGTCTTCATTGCTGTACGTGGGCCTTCTCCAGTTGCTGCGAGTGGGGGCTTCTCTTCGCTGTCGGCAGGCTTCTCATTGGTGGTGGATTCTCTTCTTGCAGAGCACAGGCTCCAGCAGGTGGAGCACGTGGGCTCAGGAGTTGCACCAGGGCTTAGCTGCTCTGTGGCCTGTGGGATCTTCTGGGACCAAGGGTCAAACCCATGTCCCCTGCATTGGCAGGGGGATTCTTATCCACTGTACCACCAGGGAAGTCCAACAGAAATGATCTATTTAATGAATACCTCCAAGCCACAGCCAAATAAAATAGAGAATGTCATGGATGTAATTTGGATCTCAGATAATGAATGTACTTCCATAGTAGACTATGGGACAGACCTACAACCACCATCTGACTCATCCTGCCTGAAAAAAAGAAAGTAACCAATAAATAAGCATAAAAAATACAGTGGCCATATATACTAAACTGATTTTTAGGGTATTATAGATCTGGATTGGTCTTTCTTTAAACCCCAAACTACATTTAATATACGTATATTATAATGAAGACATTATTTTTCCCCACAATTCTGTCCTGGTACTTTAAAAGCATACTCCTTTCCCCTCCCTTTATAGGGAATTTTACTTGTAATGGATAACTTATCTATTCTGACATCATAAATACCCACCAAATGGTCTCTTTGTGGAAACTGAATAGCACAATATCAAGGAAAACTAGGCAACATTTTGTACAGGTAGTAATTTGTTAAGAGAAGTGCCACTAATCATGAATCTCGATGAACAATAGATGCTGGAGAGGGTATGGAGAGAAGGGAACCCTTCTGCACTATGGGTGGGAATGTAAATTGGTACAGCCACTATGGGGAACAGCATGGAGGCTCCTTAAAAAACTTAAAACAACCATATGATCCAGCAATGCCACTCCCAAGCACATATCCAGAGAAAACCATAATCCGGAAGGAGACATGCACTCCCTCACTGTTCACAGCAGCACTGTTCACAAAAGCCAAGACATGGAAGCCACATAAATGTCAATCGACAGAGGGATGGAGAAAGAAGATATGGCACATATACATACATGGAATGTGACTCAGCCATAAAATGCAATGAAATAATGCCATTTGCCGCAACATGGAGGAACCTAGAGACTATCATACTAAGTGAAGTAAGTCAGACAAAGACAAGTATCATGTGGTATCACTCGTATGTGGAATCTAATTTTAAAAAACAGGGAAGTCTGGCATGCTGCCGTCCATGGGGTCGCAAAGAGTGGGACACAACTGAGTGACTAAACTGACTGAATTTTAAAAAAAAGATGCAAGTGAACTTACGTACAAGACAGAAGCAGACTCAACAGATATCAAAAACAAACATGGTTACCAAAGAGGAAACATGGGGCGGGTTAAAAATCAGGAGCTTGGGATGAACAGACAGACACTACCATATATAAGATAGGTGACCAACACGGACCTGCAGGGAACTCTGCTCACTATTCTGTGATAATCTATATGAGAAAAGGATCTGAAACAGAACGAATCTATGTTCACGCATAACCGAATCCCTATGCTGCACACCTGAAACTAACACACCACTGTGAACATCTATACTCCAATAAACTTGAAATATTTTAAGAAAATCATAAATTTCAAGGAGTGATGATATTCTCAGCCAAAGGCTCTATAAACAAACTCGACAAGTGTCCTGCTCTGTTAAGGGGAGAAATAAGGATTCTTGTCTTGTTTGAGCTTTGAAGCTGGAAGAGGAGAAAGTTCATTTCTTCCCACTAAGAGAGCTGAGGTGACCCACCATTCTCTGAGAAAGATGCTATCACTATGATTTAAAGAAAGCTGAGGGTCCAAGATTTGATGCTTTTGAATTGTGGTGTTGGAGAAGACTCTTCAGAGTTCCTTGGACTGCAAGGAGATCCAATCTGTCAATCCTAAAGGAAATCAGTCCTGAATATTCATTGGAAGGACTGATGCTGAAGCTGAAACTGCAATACTTTGGCCACATGATGCAAAGAACTGACTCACTGGAAAAAGACCCTGATGCTGGGAAAGATAGAAGGCAGGAGGAGAAGGGGACAACAGAGGATGAGATGGTTGGATGGCATCACTGGCGCAATGGACAAGAGTTTGAGTAGGCTCTGGGAGTTGGTGATAGACAGGGAGCCCTGGTGTGCTGCAGTCCATGGGGTCACAAAGAGTCGGACACAACTGAGCGACTGAACAGAACTGAACTGATGATTTGGGGATGATGAAGATAGAATACAAGGTTTAAGGAGGGACTTCTCTGGTGGTCCAGTGGTTAAGAATATACCTTCCAATGCAGAGGATATGGGCTCCACCCCTGGTTGGGGAGCTAAGATCCTACATGCCACAGGGCAACTTAGCCCGCACACTGCAACTACTGAAGCCCGCCCACTGACTGCAACTAGAGAGATGTCAGAATGCTGCAACCAAGAGCCAAGGCAAGGACAGGTCCTGCAGGCTGCAACTAAGACCTGATGCAGCCAAATACATAAATATTTAAAGAAACAAAAAAGCCTTCAGGAAAGGCTAATGGAAAGAAAAGGGCTGGAAATAAGGGTAAGACTTTTCACAGACCAGGAGAAGGGTATAGAAGGCAAAGTCAAGATGACTTCAGGGTGACAGGGAGTCCAGAAGTTCCGGAAGGAAAGGGGAAAGCTGCGTTAAGAGGACATGTGTTGTTTCATCTGCCCCATCTTCTCTGCTCCTCTACCACTGGCATCCTCCACTTTCTGAGGGCCCAGCAGGAGGAAGCTGCAAGGAACAGATCTTCTTGTGTGTAGAGTGTGCCCATGTGTGGGTGTGGGGTGGGGCAGAGGTGGGGGCAGTGAGAACCCACCTGCTCTCCAAGAGCAGCTGGTGATGTCTGCATTTCCAGAGCACAGAACCAGGTCTCACTCTCTGCTCTATCTTGGCAGAGTGCTCATGCTGACTCAGGGTGAAGGGTTAGAGGGAAAGGCAAGAAGTTGGGGGAAGCTGGCTTCTGAAAGGCTGTCAAGGGTCTAAGTTCAAGGTGAAAAACACAGAAATTTGGATGGAGTGATATATACTGCCTTACCAATCCCAATACCCAAGAGACGATAAGCTGGAGACATGAAAACACTTCATTAAATACTGGAAGAGAGGTCCCTGATGACACTTTTCTACGGTTTCAAAATCTACAAGCCACCTCTGGTGTCACCATTAAACACGAGACAGAATTAGATGGACCACGTCTGTTACCCAGAAGAAATTCTCCTTTAGGGAAGCTGAACGAATAAATGTAAGTGGGCAAGGCAAGGACAAGCTCTGATGCTAACATCCAGCTCGAGCAGAGCTGAAAATTCAGGTTTTCCATACACAAACAGAGAAAAGACCTCAGAGCTAAAACCCAGGGCCTCAGAGGAGGAAATCACTCTGCAAACCCAGGGGCATAGTGTCCACCACCATTCTGACAGTGCAACGAACAGCATGTCTGTAATCTTCTCATGGTGGTGTTCTGTGGCTCAGTCCGACTCTTTGTGACCCCATGGACCACAGCATGCCAGGCTTCCTTGTTCCTTACTACCTCCTGGAGGTTGCCCAAGTTCATGTCCATCGAGTCAGTGATGCCATCCAACCATCTCATCCTCTGTTGCCCCCTTCTCCTTATGCTTTCAATCTTTCCCAGCACCAGGGTCTTTTCCAATTAGCTCTTCACATCAGGTGGCCAAAGTATTAGAGCTTCAGCATCAGTCATTCCAATCAACATTCAGGGTTGATTTCCTTTAGGACGGACTGGTTTGATCTCCTTGCAGTCCAAGGGATTCTCAAGAGTCTTCTCCAACACCACAGTTCAAAAGCATCAATTCTTCAGCACTCAGCTTTCATTATAGTCCAACTCTCACCTCCATACATGACTACTGGGAAAACCATAGCTTTGACTAGTCGAACCTTTGTCAGCAAGGTAAGGTCTCTGCTTTTTAATATGCTATCTAGGTTTGTCATAGCTTTTCTTCCAAGGAGCAAGCATCTTCTAATTTCTCATGTGACTCCCCAGTGTGGGACTACAGAAGAGAAATCTACACCATAGGAAGCAGGAAAAGGTGACTGAAAGTCCCCAGATTCAGAAATTCCCCTCTTTCTTTTCTTTTTCTAGCTGAGCCATATGGCTTGCAGGATCTTAGTTTCCCATCTAGGGATGGAGTCCTGGCACTGAAAGCAGCAAGTCCTAACCACTGGACAACCGTGGAATTCCCGGAAAATCTCCTCTTATTGCAGACGCTACACATCACCCAACCTTCTCTCTGATCTCTGCTCCCACCACTCTCCCTTTTCCCCTTCCACCCCCACCACGCCCGCCTTCATTCTGCTTCCTGAATACGTCACCCTTATTTCCACCCACAGGGCCTTTGCTGTTCCTATTGTCATGGACAGCTTTGCAGTGTATCTCTGCGTAGCTGCTTCTTTCTTATCAGATCTAGTGTCATCTTCTCAAAAAAAAAAAAAAATTTTCTTCTCTGTTTCACTATTTATGCCATGGCCTGTTTCTCCAGAGCCACTTCCAAACTTACACTGTGGTGTCTTCCTGAAAGGACTTATGGCTGCTGAAATGGCCTTGTGTGTGTGTGTGTGTGTTCTCTTGTCCAGCGTCCAACTCCCAAATCAGGCCACAGCCTCTCTAAGAGCAAGGCCCCTGTATGCCAGCGCCCAGCCCACAGCAGAGGTAAGAAACACTTAGTGGATGAACACACATACACACACACACACACACACACACACACACACAAGCCGCTGCCTTCCAACTAGGATCGCTGCTCTTTCAAAGAAGCAGAAACGGAAGCAAAGAAAACCCACCATACCTCGTTCGTGAAGAGTCCATGTCCAGCACCAGCTTGGCTAAGTGTTTCCTCTGTTTTTGGATATTTGGGATTTCTACCTGTGGGTACAGGAAACAAACAAAGAAAACCCAGTTGATTTGAAGTCCAATGACAGATTTTTAAAAAAATTTTAAAGACTGAAGTATAGTTGAATTTCCAATGTTTCAGGTGTAGAGCAAAGTGATTCAGTTATATATATATATATTTTTCTCAAGTTTGTCTCCATTATAGATGAACTTGAAAAAAAAAATAGATATGTATAAAACTGAATCACTTTGCTGTATAATAGGTTTGTCCCATTATAGGTTATTATAAGATATTGAGTATAGTTCTTTGTGCTAGACAGTAAGTCTTTGTTGGTTGTCTGTTTTATACATAGTAGAGGGTGTAGGTCTATCCCAATCTCCTAATTTATCCTCCCATCTTCCCAGGGAGCAAGCCTGAGCCTCTTATGTCTCCTGTATTGGCAGGCGGGCTCTTCACCACTAGCGCCTCCTGGCCGCACTACACACATTTCAAGAGCTCAGCAGTCACAGGTGGTTAGCGGTCGCCAAGCAGTGTAGACGGGAAACATCTCCAGCACCGGGGAGGTTTGCAGGACCAGTTAAAGGGGAGGATGTGAAGAGGGCCAGGGTTCACAGCAAATAACATCCCCCAACCATTTTATCTCTTACCTGAAAAAATTTCACTTGGTTGAAGCTGGCAAAACTGTCACCTACAAATTAAGGCTTCTTCTTAAAAAGACAGTTTGCTTTAGTGTCCTTTAAGGTAGACAGAGAAGGGCCCTGCCTAAACAGAGACAGTGAAGGGGCTGCACAGAGTCTCTTGGACACGAGCCCTCATATACAAGAATAGGGGCTTGTGAATAGGGGCTGCTGTTCATCTTTTAAATTTTTTAAATTGAAGTACAGTTGATTTACAATGTTGTGTTAATTATGGCTGAACAGCAAAGTGATTCACTTACACATATACATACATACATATATACAGTTTTAAAAATATTCCTGTCCATTACGGTTTATAACAGGAGCTTGGATTTAGTTCTCTGTGCCATAGAGAAGGACTTTGTTGTTTATCCATCCTATATACACTAGCTTGTGTGCTAATCCCAAACTCCCAATCCATCCTTCCTATATCCCCTCCCCCTTGGCAACCACCAGTCTGCTCTCTGAAGGGAGTCTGTCTCTGTTTCACGGATAGGTTCATTTGTGTCCTATTTGAGATTCCACTGTCATTTCACAGAAGCCTGGAGATAGGTGGAGGGCAGGGAGGAAGATGGGGCGGAGACCCTGCGCGGGATGAAGTGATGCCACCAGCCTTGGAGTTTCACCCTCAAGAACGGCACAGGTGGGAGAAGGGGACAGCCTTCAGCTCCAAGGGCTCCCGGGCTGGGGCACCCCCTGCAGCTGGGTAGTAACGCTCCCCAGTGAGACACTGTGTCACAGAGTGGGTGAGGGGCAGAAACAACCCTGAGGCTGGAGCCAAGGGACCCCAGGGACCACCACTCTGCCCACCCCAATCACATGGGCCCAGTCTCGCTCCCACTTCTGACCTCGGCCAGCAAGAACAGCGGCTCGATCACATCCCTCTCAACCTGCAGTTCAAAATGAATCAGCTCCTGAGCCAGCTTGTCCTCTGTCTCGCCGCAGAGTTTCAGCATCTTCCTGCAACAGAAGGGGAGGAAAACCATCCTGAGCACTCTGTGGAGAAAGACGTGACCCCTGTCCTAATGCGGTCACCTGCCAGCCAGGTAAACACCCTTGAGAAAAACTTGCTTCATACAGTTTCGTTTCTGAAACTGTCCACTTTCTAAAGGATGTTGAGTACCTACTATGTGTCTGGACTAAAAGGGGGTCTGTGGGGAATTAAGAGAGATATAGAGGGGCTTCCCTGGGGCGGTCCAATGGTTGAGACTTTGCCTTCCAATGCAGGGGGCCAGGGTTTGCTCCCTGGTTGGGGAACTAAGATCCTGTATGCTGCAACGAAAGATCCTGTGTGCTGCAACCAAGACCTGGCAAGGCCAAATAAATATTTAAAAGGAAAAAAAAAAAAAAAAAGAAGCTCTTTCCTCTTACCCTGTTTGCCTACAGTGAAAGTGAAAATCACTCAGTCGAGTCCAACTCTTTGTGACCCCATGGACTATACAGTCCATGGAATTCTCCAGGCCAGAATACTGGAGTGGGTAGCCGTTCCCTTCTCCAGAGGATCTTCCCAACCCAAGGATCGAACCCAGGTCTCCCCCATTGCAGGCGGATTCTTTACCAGTGAGCCACAAGGGAAGTCCAAGAATACTGGAGTGGGTAGCCTATCCCTTCTCCAGCAGGTCTTCCTGACCAGGAATCAAACCAGGGTCTCCTGCACTGCAGGCAGATTCTTTACCAACTGAACTATGAGGGAAGCCCTAAAAGCAGGATATGAATCTGTAAAGGGGTCCCCCTCCCATCTCTACCAGATGCTAATCACCAGAGACAATTCCAGACCCTTATCAGCCCAGAGAAGGCCCCAGTGGACTCCACATTACAAACTTTACTAACTCTTATCTTCTACTAGTTCCCCATATATTTACCTTCCCACAATTTGCTGCCCTAGAGACTAACATTTCTTTGTCTTGTCCCATCTTTAAAAATCACTGCTTTTTTGTTAAAAATGCTACATAGGCCCAAGTTCAAGCCACCCCTTTGAGTTCCTCATCACTGAGTTCTCCCATGTGTATGATAATCAAAGATGTATGCTTCTTCTCTTATTCATCTGTCCTCTGTCAACTTTATTTGTAGGGTCTGTGAAAGAGCCTAAGATGGGAAGAGGGAAAAAGAATTTCTTCATCCTCTCCAGCACATTCACTTTGTTGTTGGTTGTTGTTCAGTCACTCAGTCGTGTCTGACTCTTTGCAACCCCATGGACTGCAGCACGCCAGGCTTCCCTGTCCTTCACTACCTCCAGGAATTGCTCAAACTCACGTCCATCAATTCGGTGATGCCATCCAATCACCTTATCCTCTGTTGCCCCCTTCTCCTCCTGCCTTCAATCTTTCCCAGCACTTGCATTTCATTCTTTTCTTCTGGACATAATCTGCCTCACACGACCTTAACTATTTTTTCAGTGAGAACATGCAAATAGTAATTCCTCTAAATCTGTGCCTGAAGATACCCTATTTTCCTCTTATTCCTTAAGATTTTTAAAAAATATTTGCTTATGTGGCTGTCAGGTCTTATTGTGGCGCACGTTGGCTCAGGAGCTGCAACGCGTGGGCTTTGCTGGCCCATGCCACGTGGGATCTCAGTTCCCCAGCCAGGGGTGGAACTCAGTGTTCCCTGCATTACAAGGAGGATTCTTAACCACTGGACCACCAGGGAAGTCCCTTCCCCTTATTCCTGAATGACCATTTAGTCCATCACTGAATCTAGATTTCTCACATTTTTCACTCACTACCTGAAGATATTCTTCCCCTATTTCCTGGCCTTTATTTTGGCTCACAGTCAGTTATCAGTCTAAGTGCCCTTGTATACGTACTTGGTGACTGAACAACAAGCTTTCTCTGCTCGACTTTAAGCCTCTCTTTTGTGTCAGTGGTGTGTGGTTTTACAATGGCGTGTCCAGGGATGGATTTCTTTTTGTGGATCTCTGTCAGGACTATTTGTGCTCCTTAAATCTGAAGACTCATGCTTTTCTTCAAATCTAGAAAAGGAAAATTCAACCATAAACTTACCCTTCTATTTTCTTCTTCAGGAGCAACTACTACACATTACTGCTCTATATTTATAACCTGCCGCTTGAGTTTCTCCACTTAATGCTGCCTGCATCTCTAGTGCTTCTATTGGGTCGGCCAAGACTTTCATTCAGGATTTTCTGTAAGCTCCTACAGGAAAACCCAAAGGAATTGTACTTTATTCTGGTCATTCTTGTGGCAACTCTAGATCTGTTTTCAAGGTCACCAGTTTCCATATCTGTGTGCAACTTCCAGTCTCTCTCAAGTAAGTTTTTAAAGTATAATAAATATAATTTGAAGTTTTAAAAGTTCTATTTGGTTTTCTTTGATCCTGCCTCTTCTTCCTTCCCCCCCGGTCATATATTATTTCATTTTCCTTCCTGTCAAGAATTTTTCTGTTTATTAAATTTTTAAATTTCATTTTAGACGTAATTACTGTCCATTTCCTTTCATGCCATCCCAGTAATTTTAGCTCTTAGGGTCCAATTCTCCCATCAGCTGTGCCTGCTGACCCTCTCTCATGGTGCTCCTATTTTTAGCTTGTTTTTATTGTGAGCTCAAAATCAGCAAGGGTTGTTCTTCTGGGAATCCTATAAGTTCTGACATCTGACACAGAGAGATTTCATATTTGCTTCTGCTGGGGCCCAAGGGATTTTGAGGGCTCTTCAACCATTTTTTTTTCTTTTTTTCTTTTTTGACCATGCCTCATGGCATGCAGGGTCTTGGTTCCCCAACCGGGGATCAAACCTACACCCCCTGCAGTGGAAGCATGCAGTCCTAACCACTGGACCGCCAGGAAAGGCCCTCCAGTTTTATGTTGGTTTCTCCCCTTGGGAGCTGCCTCCTGCGCAGACACTACGACTCCGGGGCCCGGGGGCTCAATTTCTCACCGGCCGCCGTCCCTTCTCCCCCATCCAGCCCCCAGCCAGGCTGCAGTGTATGCAGTGCCTTGCTGCGATGTGTGCGTCCCCTCTTTAAGGACGGGGACTTTCCCAGATTTGGCACGAACCCAAGCATGGTATCTCCTTACCCAAGAAGTGTGTCATCTCCCAGGATAGCTGACCCTTCCATCAGACACTGAGCCAGTGTTGTCAAAGGCAATTTTTTCTGAAAAGGGAAGAAAGAATGTGGTGATGCAAATGACTTCAACAGTCACCCACTTGTATGAAAATAGTGAGAAGTCAAATACTTGCCTAGATACTCTGTTAGCTAAGAAACAAACCGACTTTAAAATATGTATAAAACCTAAAAGTTCAGAGGATACAAAGGTGGGTTAGATTCAGAGATGTCAAAATTCAGAAAATTAAAACAAAATCTGCTAATTTGGAAAATAAGGCTAAGGTTTACATGCTGCATTTTAAAATCTAGTAGGATAGCAACAGGGAAAAAAAGGAGACTTCAAAATTATGCTAAAGACTTGAGCCATGCTTTAATTAGAAATCAATCTCTTTCTTAAGAAGTATATTAGCCCTAATTTATAAACAAGGCAGCTTATGATCAAGACAGACAGAAAATGTTCACCTAGAATTACAATGCAAACAAAGTAATCATCAAAATAAGGCAGACTGCAAAGAAGATATAAAATGGCCAATAAGCACATGAAAAGATGCTCAACATCATTAGTCATTAAGAAAACCAAATGAAAGCTGCAATGAGATACCACCTCACCCCCACTAGGATGGCCATCATAATATTAATAACATATATTCTTGGATACATAAAATAAATATTGGTGAGCATGTGGAGAAATTGGAACCTTCATGCTTTGCCGGAAGAGATGTAAAACGGTCCAGCACTGGGGGAAAGTTTGGCAGTATTTCAATAAGTTAAACAAAATTACCATATGGCCCGGCAATTCCACTCTTGGGTATGTACCCAAAATACTCTGAGACAGATGGCTGAATAAAAACATGCATGATGTGAAGAGCGGCCCAACGCACAATAGCCAAAAGGTAGAAACAGCACCAATGTCCATCAACGGGTGAGTAAAGAAACACAATGCCGTCTATCCACGCAAAGGAACTACTACACAGCCGTAAAAAGAGAATGAAGTCCTGACACAGGCTACAATGTGGATGAACCCTGAAGGCATCGCCAGACAAAATGGGCACATGATGTATGATTCTACTTATATGAGATATCCAGAATAAACAAATCCATAGGGATAGGAGCTAGATTTGTGGTTAGGAGATGAGGGGGAAACTCCAATACTTTGGCCACGTGATGTGAAGAACTGACTCATTTGAAAAGACCCTGATACTGGGAGAGATTGAAAGGAGGAGGAGAAGGGGACAACAGAGGATGAGATGGTTGGATGGCGTCACCGACTCAATGGACATGAGTTTGAGTAAACTATGGGAGTTGGTGATGGACAGGGAGGCCTGGCGTGCTGCAGTTCATGAGGCTGCAAAGAGTCAGACACGACTCTTCAGTCGGAGCTACTGAACTGAACTAAAGAGCTGCGGGGGGAGGGGGATTAATTGATGACTATGGGGTTTCCTTTTGGGAGACGGAAATGCTCTCGAAGTAGATCATGGTGGTAGCTGCACAATACTGTCCCTGCACTAAATGTCACTGAGTTGTACTCCTTAAAATTGTTAAAATGGTAAGTTTTATGATATGTGGTAAGCGAGGGAGAGAGAGGAGGAGGGAGGCAGAAAGGCAGAATGATCTATGATCACAGAATGATACATCTTCCCTCCTTACTAAGTGTGGACAAGCCCTGTCCTTCCTGAGCCTAAACCATCCAGCACATGCTGAGAACAACAAGGTGAGAACCACCAGATCTCCCTAGATCTTCCAGTCCACACGGCCACACAGACCCCCTCCCATCCCACAGCCTTTGCCCCAGGACCCAGAGACCCTCAGCTGTCACTTACTTCCTCCCCAGAGTGAAAGGGGTGCCTACCTACCTCGGTACCACAGCTGTGATGACTGAGACCAGACGCTGCTTTCACGGAGTTTACATCCCAGGGCCGGGAGACAAATACTAAACACAGACACTATGAAGGAGACTGTTTCGAGAGTTGGAAGTGCTGTGCGGGCAACAGGAAGCAGGACAATAGGTAGAGTGGGCAGCTGTGGCGAGGGAGCGGTGATGAGAAAAGACCCTCCCCCCAGAGAGGGTACCTTTAGCAAGCACCCTGAAGAGAAAGTCAGCCAAGCCTCCAGATGACCTGGGACAGAATATGCCAGGCAGAGGAATGGCAGGTGCAAAGGTCCAGAGGTGGGCTACCTGGACCGCTCAGCATCCACCCCCAGGAGACCAGCATGACTGGAGCTACGTGAGCGAAGGGGGAGCAGTCAGGGAGGAGGCGGAGGCTAGACTGTGCATGTCTTCATCAGCCAGAGGCAGGCACTGGAGTTGGATTCTAGGGGGCCTGGGGACCACTGGGGGCTTGTTAAAGAACAAAATGATCTGTTAAAAATAACTCAGTTCTGAAACATGAAACTGGATGATGTGAGAGAGGAACCAAGATGAAGGTAGATTTTTAGGAATCTGGTTTGAACATCCCCAGGAGAGCGACAGGCTCCAGGTATCTCCAGGGAAAAATCGCAGGAGACAGGTCAACCCCAAGAATGGGATGGAGTTCCTGGGGCTCCAGGAGGAGGAGAGACCAGGACACCTGAGAGATTATTGCTCTCCAGCCCAGGAAAACCCAGGATACCCTGGATGGGTGCAAGCCACAGTCGCCTCCCTGCCCTCAGAGAGGACATCTAACTTCCGTGAATGGGGTGCCTACCTACCCAGGTACCACTTCCCGGTTAGACGCCTTTCACTTGAGGAATAATCCTGCTAACTCACCATTTCACATAAAATGAGACATTCTTCTGGGTAAAAATGAGACCAGGCAACCAAGAACTAAAACATCCAAACTTAAACACCACTTTCTATCTGTCCTACAAAGCTATTGGGTCCAGGTTTCCAGAGATTTAATTAAAGGCACAGGAACAGTATCTTTGGAGAGAATCTGCTCCCCCCTCCCCCGCCACCATTCAAATGAAGTTACTTAAAGCACATTTTAGAGAAATGTCTAAAATGGTTAAAAAAGAAAAGAAAAGCAGAAAGTCTTCTTCCATCCTTAACCCTCAGCCACTTGGTTCCTGACTCCAGAAATCATGACAGTGATCAGTTTTCTGTGTCTCCTTCCGTAAGTATTCTAAGAAGATCCAATGATGTATGGGAGTGTGTGTCCATTTTTAATGGACGCATTTTTCCCCTCACACTGTCAGCACATGATATACCCAACCCTACACTTCAATTTTCCTTTTCACATAGAGATATCGTTCATGTCATTTCCTATCAAGACACAGAACTGTCTCATCCTGTTTTTTTTCTTTTAATGGCTACACAGATCATTGAATGATGATGACAATATTTAAACAAGTCCTGTACTGATGGTGTAATGGTCACAAGACAGGGTCTGTGCCTCTGGACCGAGTGATGCTCCTAAGAAAGGATTTGCTGTGGAGGAGACACTGAGGGCCTTGTGAGCACATGGATTTCAAGGGCATCAGGGTTAAAGGGGTAAAACCTCAATTAGTGAGTTTTTGTTTGTATAGATGCTGTAAGAGTCCAGAAACAAGAGAAAAAAAGAATCAAGAAATTAAAAGGAAGCTACCAAAAGAAAGAAAAGGAAGAAATGGGTTATACCTTCATGTCAAAAATGAGACAGTGACAATCTATAATCAAAGGTAGGTGAATAGAAGAAGTTAATGGACTTCAACTCACAACAGACTCCAAATCACTTCTATTCCTAAAGACATTTTCTAAGACAAAAGGAAAAGCTGAGGGTTCAGTAGACACAGGGCACCATGCTGGTTAATCTACCCTAATGCCTACCTGTTCCTGAGATATTACTTGCTCTTTTCCCCACCTTCTGCTCACCCTCACTTCACTTAGAAAGATATTGAGACTTCGAAGGATCCAACTGCCCACGTGTCTAGAAAAGCCACCATTCTCTGGCTGACAAAGATCCAGGCTGAAAGAACCACACACTATTCCAGGGACTACTGGGTTAGTCGCTCAGTTGTGTCCAACTCTTTGTGACCCCATGGACTGTAGCCCACCAGGCTCCTCTGTCCATGGAATTCTCCAGGCAAGAATACTGGAGAGGGTTGTCAATCTCTTCTCCAGGAGATCTTCCTGACCCAGGGATCAAAACTGCATCTATTTTGTCTCCTGCATTGTAGGCGGAATCTTTACCGCTGAACCACCAGGGACCATTAGTGCCCATGTAAGAGATCTTAGCAAGCTTCATCCTGACCAGTGGCTTTCCAGGTCAAAGGGAAGCTGTTAGAATATACCTCCTGATTCTGGAGTGCCAAGAGATGCTTAAGAGTTAAAGAAGGGGACACAGAATGTTCCAGGGTTTGCAAGCAGTCGATCTGACTTGTCTGAGATGACTGTTCTCTCCAAAATTATCTTGGGCAGAAGCAGCACAGTTTGTAGAATGACTCAGAGACAAAAAGTCTCATTCTAATATCCACCCTGCTTCCCAAACATACACACACACACGCTCACACACAGCCCCATCTCTGAGAATTGCTGTCTACTATCCTCTCATCCAGGCACACTTGTTCCCTGGGGATCAGCAGTTCTCAGGGGAGATTCTGGACCAACAACGGGGCCATAATAACAGCAGCTTCTGTTTCTGTACTATGTAGTTTAACTACAGGTCAAGCACTGTGCTAAGCATTTACATGAATGATCTCGTGGAATTCTCAAACAACCCTACTAGGTAGGGATTCACTGTTACTATGATTTTCCAAGTGAAGAAACCAAGGCTTATAGAGGTAACCAACTTGCTCTCTGTCAGGCAAAATTTGGAAACAGCAGAGCTGGGCTTCAAGCTCAGAGAGTCATATCCCAGCACTTGAACTCAGAACCATCAACCTAAATTGCTTCTGTAAAGAACAGCAAAGATTTGGGACTTCCCTGGTGGTCCAGTGGTTAAGAATACACCTTCCAATGCAGGGCTTGTAGGTTTGATCTTTGATCAGGGAACTAAGATCCCACATGCCTTGGAGCCAAAAAACCAAAACATAAAACAGAAGCAATGGGTAACAAATTAAATAAAGATTTTGAAAGAAAAGAATAGGAAAGATTCAAATTGGCTCGATGGTGTTGGGCAGGTCCTGTGCCTAAAATACTCACGGGCCATCCAGTCATGACACATCTATTTTTAGCACCGCCTTCACATGGCAGGTCCCATTAGAGGCATTAAGGATGCAGCCGTGATGGGAAGATAAGATCCCTGCTCCCATGGAGCTCACATACCAGGACTGGGAACGGACACAGGAGAAGATGAAGGAGCACAGCGATTTTAGAGAATCACACGTGCTAGGAAGAACGTGGAATCGGGGGATGTGACTGGGGGAGGGAGCAAACACATCAGATGGTGACAGAAGCTGCACCGAGAAGGTGGCCTCTGAGCTGAGAATCAAACAGTAAGATGTTGCTGGCCTGGCTAGGCTGCAGTAGCCAGGACATGGATGCAATCTAAAAGTCCATCAACAGATGATGGATAAAGACGTGGTTCATATATACAAAGGAATACCAAGTGCCATAAAACAGGAAAATAATGACATCTGCAGCACCATGGATAGACCTAGAGTTTATCACTCTAAGGGAAGCCAGACAGGGGAAGACAAATACCATATGCTATCACTTAAATGTGGAATCTAAAAGAGGACACAAATGAACCCATCTAGGAAACAAAAGCAGACTTGTGGACACAGAGAACAGAGGGACGGTTGACAAGGGGGGCGACTGTCAGGCGCCCCTTGCTGAAATCCCCAATACACATCGAATTACTTCCATAGACACTCTGCAAAGCGGTAAACATTTTATTTCTACCACTCATCAGTGCTTCCTGCTGGGAAAGTTAAGAAAGAAGAAACCAGGGCTGGGAGGAGAAAATGGAATGATCGATGGAGCAAGCAGAGTGGTCTGGCCCTGCAGTGTGAGCTGGGAGGACGCATCAGGATAGCCAAGAGAGGCGAAGTCAACAGAGCCGGGGGGCTCAGGGCGACCACCAGGAAGAGACGTCAACAACAACTCCTGGTCAGAGAAAACCAGACAGGCACCAGACATGCTGATCGTCAACTCAAGGAGGAAAGTGACCCCCTAGACTGACCCTCCCCTGGAACAAAGCCAAGTGAACGCTTAAGAATATCTTTTCAGGGGCTTCCCAGGTGGCTCAGTGGTAAAGAACCTGTTAAAAAATAAATTAATATTAATAATATATATTTTTTTTAATAATAATTTTTTTTTAAAGAGTATCTTTTCATCTCTGTTGGATTTGAGGGAGGCGGGGGTCAAGACGGAAGTGAACCTTCAGCATCATCCACCCCAAGGACTGTCCAATGGAGCTGCATGATGCAATGCCTTCAGCACTAGGGCAGGTTCTAGACAGAGACCCTGGAGCCCTGTTATGCATCACGTTATCTTTACTGCATCATTGCAGCAAAAATGGTCTTCATAGGAGTCTTTATATGTTCCTTGTAACCCCCAAAACCACAGTGTCAGTTTTTTCCCACGTGATCTTAAGACACTGTGGAGGCAAATGGAATCTGTAGATGAGCAGCAGGGGTAAAGAAAGGTGGCAGCTTCCTCAGCAGTGGGATCTAAGCCCGTCCTGCTCTCCTCGGGGGCTGCCCCAGTCTGGGGAGGACAAGGATGGGGACCACATCTTGGTGAGCATGGGGGTGCTTCCGGCAGAGGTACGATTCTCAAACACCAGCTGGGCGGTCCGCAGGCAAATTCCACCTCCCCCGGGGCCAGGAGGGCACTTACGGAGCGCTTGTCAGCCTCGGCCCCTTGCTGGCCCTGCAGACATGCCGTGAGCTTCTTGTGTGTGCTGTGGGAGACCTGCTTCACCAGCTCCAGCCGCTTCTCTACCTGCGGACAGAGCAGGGGGCGGGGCCCCCGGGTGAGGCGAGGTCAGGGGGGTCGTGGCCTGGATAATCCAGGGACAAGACTGGCTCCTGTTTCTGCAGAGACAACGTCCAATGCAGGAGAGAAAAGGAGGGGATCACAGACTTGGAGACACTCTGCTAACCGTGTGGTGAAATGCCTTCATATGTCTCCTGAAAAGTCCCACTGAGACTGCTGTGTACCATGCAGGGTGCTATTGTAAAGAGAAAAAGCTGCATTTCTAAAGGGACTGGGAGAGGAGCAGTGGAGAGTCTGAACATTGGGAAGGGCTCGGCTGTAAAAGGGAAGACGTCTCTGCCATCTACAAGTTACAGGCCAGTGACAATCTTACCTGAAGAAGGTCTTCGCTCAGAACTTCAGTCTTCTCGGCCCTAAAGGGAAAATGGAGACACACATCAGTTAAAAAACAAAAACTAGGAATATGGTCTCATAATTACTCCCCATCCTCTCCACTTATCGAGTGATTCAGTGTTACATCTATGCACATTCTTTCATATTCTTCTCCATTTGTGGTTTATTACAGGATACTGAACACAGTTTCTTGTGCTACACAGTAGGACCTTGTTGTCTCTCCTGGATATACTAGCTTGCACCAATAGCAACGATTTCTAACAAGAGAAAATGTAGGCAGCACTGGGATTGACAAGGAACATCGAGTAACCAGCATTTCCAGCAAAAACACAGGCTCTGAGGAGTCTCCTGCTACTGTGTGGAAACCTAGATGAAGCACAACACACACACCTTTTCTGCCTCCAGGCATTCTTTCTTCAATTAATAGAATTAGGTAGGTTCCCTGACCCATTCCCCTTGGTCTCCCCCAAGCAAGCAAACGTGGCAGAGATTGATCAACAGCAAAGACAGAGAAAGCGTTGAGTTGAGTCCTGGTAACAAATGCAAATGTCACCACTGAGATCTGGCCACTAGTACGAGGCACACCCCACCCCCTCACCACCCCAGAAAGTGGACAGCTGAAACCAGAGGTTAACACTTTCGGGGAAGGAACCTGGATGCTGGCTGGAGTGTCCCAACCTGTAAGCAATCCCTGTCTCAGCATTAGAGGAAAATGCAAATCTTCCTGGAGCAAAGCACAAAGAGGCATACTCAAAAAAATCTAAATATAAACTAACCCACAGAAAAGAAAGAAAAAGAACACAAAGCAATTAAAAAAAAATAGACATAATACAAAAAATTAAATGGCAGGCTTAAGTCTTAACATATTCATAATTATATTAAATGCAAATGGCCTAATAAATATGCCAATTAAAAGACAGAATGACAAGAGTGGACTGAAAGAAATCATGTGGGCCACAAGAATCTCACTTCAAATATGATATGGGTAGACTGAAGGTAAAAGGACAGGAAAAGATATCATGCAAACATTTATCAAAAGAAAGCAAAAGTGGCAGTATTAATACAGATAAAAGTAGATTCAGAGTAAAGAAAATGACCAGAAATATAAAGGAAAATATAGTGATAAAAGCATCAGTCCATAAGAAGATATGGCATCTTGAATGTGTATGCACTAAACTACAAAGCTGCAAAATATGAGAAGGAAAGTACAAATGCATGTAGAGACTTCAATATTTCTTCTCTCAACAACGGACAGACCAGCTAGAAAAAAAACAATCAGCAAGAGCATATATGAACATAATCCCAGGGGCTTCCCTGGTAGCTCAGCCAGCGAAGAATCTGTCTGTAGTGCAGGAGACCCAGTTCAATCCCTGAGTTGGGAAGATCCCCTGGAGAAGGAAATGGCAAGCCACTCCAGTATGGGCTTCCCTGAAAGCTCAGTTGGTAAAGAATCCACCTGCAATGCAGGAGACCCTGGTTCAATTCCTGGGTCTGGAAGATCTGCTGGAGAAGGGATAGGCTACCCACTCCAGTATTCCTGGGATTCCCTTGTGGCTCCTGCCTGCAACGCAGGAGACCTGGGTTCAATCCCTGGGTTAGGGAGGACGGAAAGGCTACCCACTCCAGTGTTCTGGCCTGGAGAATTCCATGGACTGTATAGTCCATAGGGTCACAAACAGTCAGACAAGACTGAGCGACTTTCACTTTTCTTTCATTCCAGTATACTTGCCTGGAAAATCCCATGGACAGAGGAGTCTGGCAGATTATAGTCCATAGGTCACAAGAGTTGGACACAACTTAGAGACTAAACAACAACCACCACAAAAGAATCTGATATTTATATAAGAATACTCCAACCAACATCAGCAGAATATTCTTTTCCAGTACATATACCAAGATACACGACATCTGGGTTCATAACATTATTAGTCTGAAAGAACCGAAATCATATACAGTATATTCTCCTATCACTAACAGAAGGACAAGAAGAAAGTATACAAACACTCAGACACTAAACAGAATGCTTCTAAATAATTCCTGGAACAGAGAAAGTCTCAAAGGAAAAAAACTAACGAACTGAATAAAAATGAAAATGCAATATATCAAAATGGCAGACACAGCCAAAGCAGTACTGGGAGGAAATTTTATAGCACTAAAATCATACATTAGAAAAGAGAAACATTTTCAAATGAGCAACCCCTAATGCAACAACTTATAAAAGAAGACCAAAAATAAGCCCAGAGCAAGCAGAAGGAATGAAATCATAAAGGGCAGAAATAAAGAAGTCTAAAACAAAATAGTAACAGAGAAAACCAAGAAACAAAGAGCTGGTTCTTTGAGAATACAGTTGAAAAAACCTCTAGCACAACTGAAAACAGGAAGAAAGAGAAGACAGAATAGGAATGAAACAGGAAATATCACTATAAAATTCTGTAGATTTCAAAAGGATGTCTTTGAACAATTAAACACATACATGTAAATTTGACAAGTTATATGAAATGGACTAATGTACTTAAAAATAAATTACAATACACTCAATATGAAAAAAATAATCTAAATAGCCCTGTAACTATTAAGAAATTAAACCTGTACTATTAAAAATCTTGGAAAAAAATTCAGATCCAGAGACTTCACAAGAGAACTTTACCAAATATTTAAAGAAGAATTAGCACTGATTCTACATAAGCTCTCCCAGAATACAAAAGAGGAGGAACTACTTCCCAATTGATTTTATGAAGCTAGTAGTCCTCTGATACCAAAACCAGACAAAAAACAGTAAAAAAAAAAAAAAAAAAAAAAAAATACNAAGAGTCTTTTTAACAAACTATGCTGGTACAATTGGACATTCATATCAAAAAATATGAACTTTGTCCTATATATCACATCATATATAAAAATTCATAAAGGTTCACAGACCTAAATACAAAACAAGAGAGACTATAAAACTTTTGAAGAAAATGAGAAAATATCTTTGACCTTGGGGTTAGGCAATGAATTCTCAGAAATACCAAAAGCATGATCCATAAAAGAAAAAAAAGGATACATTAGACTTCATTTAAATTAAAAGCTTCTGCTCTGTGAAAGGCATGTCTAAAAAATGAAAAGACAATCCACTGAAAGAAGAAATATTTAAATATTTGTAGTTCACATAAAAGAACTGTATCCAGAATATATGCAGAACTCTCAAATTCAACAGTAAAAAAATCCTGTTACAAAATGGGCAAAAATATCCAAACAGAGACTTTTTAAAATTTAATGTTTAGTTGAAGGATAATTGCTTTACAGAATTTTGGAACAGAAACTTTATCAAAGATGAATAAATGGCAAATAAGCACAAGAAAAATTGTTCAATATCAGTATCCACTAGAAAAATGGAAATTAATACCCAAATGAGATAACACAATTAATATAACAAAATGACAACAAAAAATGCAAAACCCTGACTATATCAGGTTTTGGAGAAGATGTGGAACAACTGGAATCCTTACACACAGCTAAGGGTGGGGCAGAGGAAGACAGAATAGTCACTAGGGAAAACAGCTTGGTAGTTTTTTCTGAACGTGAACATACACTTGCCACATGACCCAGAAATCCCACTCTATAGAAGTGAAATTTATGTTCCCCCCTAAAAAACCCTCATAAATGTTCATAGACACTTTATGTGTAACAAGCAAACATCCTAAATGTACTTCCTTGGGTGAGTGGATTAATAACAGAATACACTCAACAATTTGTAAAATACTCAGCCAATCTTAAAGGAAATCAACCTTGAATATCATTGGAAGGACTGATGATGAAGCTCCAATACTTTGGTCACCTGATGTGAAGAGACAACTCAATGGAAAAGATCCCAATGCTGGGAAAAGTGAGTGAAAGTCTCTCAGCTGTGTCCAACTCTTTGCGACCTCATGGACGATACAGTCCATGGAATTCTCCAGGCCCAGAATGTGGAGTGGGTAGCCTTTGCCTTCTCCAGGGGATCTGCCCAACCCAGGGATGAAACCCAGGTCTCCCGCATTGCAGGCGGATTCTTTACCAGCTGAGCCACCAGGAAAGGCCAAGAATACTGGGGTGGGGAGCCTATCCCTTCTCCAGGGGATCTTCCCAACCCAGAAACTGAGCCAGGGTCTCCTGCATTGCAGGCAGATTCTTCACCAACTGAGATGTGAGGGAAGCCGAGTGGGAAAGGTTGATGGCAAAAGGAGAAGAGGGCAGCAAAGGATGAGATGGTTAGATAGCATCACCAACTCAACGGACATGTATTTGAGCAAACTCCAGGAGATAGTGAAGGATAAGGAAGCCTGGTGTCCTGCAGTTTACGGGGTTGCAAAGAGTCAGACACAACTTAGCAACTGAACAGCAAACACTCAACAATAAGTAGGAAGGATCTATTGACACAAGTGACCATATGGATAGGTGTTTAAAGACATTATGCTCAGTAAAAAAGGCCACGTGTCCTTATCTGGTACTCAAACGAAACATCTTTTAACAGAACAATGCCTATTACAATAATACTTTAGTAAGCACTGTTCCGCTAAAATATTTTCTATTATTTTCTACTGTGTTCACTGTATTAATTTCACTATCACTAATGGGTTCAATTCAGTTCAGTTGCTCAGTCATGTCCGACTCTTTGCAATCCCATGGACTGCAGCACACCAGGCCTCCTTGTCCATCACCAACTCTCAGAGTTTACTCAAACTCATGTCCATTGAGTCGGTGATGCCATCCAACCATCTCATCCTCGGTCGTACCCTTCTCCTGCCTTCAATCCTTCCAGCATCAGGATCTTTTCAAATGAGTCAGTTCTTTGCATCTGGTGGCCAAAGTATTGGAGTTTCAGCTTCAGCATCAGTCCTTCCAATGAGTGCTCAGGATTGACTTCCTTTAGGATGGACTGGTTGGATCTCCTTGCTGTCCAAGGGACTCTCAAGAGTCTTCTCCAAACCACACTTCAAAAGCATCAATTCTTCAGTGCTCAGCTTTCTTTATAGTCCAACTCTCACATTCATACATGACT